CACCTCTTGTGTTCGCATCTATTTGTCTTATGTTTTCTTTTTGCTTAACCCTTTTTGAGCCATACCGGCGTAAACTGGCCTTCCATTATGTTGCCATACCAGCTTTCTCGCTGTTGAGCTATACAGCTTCTTTTAGCGGCTGACCTATTCATGGGGCTAAAAGGGTTAATGATTGGTATTGTACTGTTGTGCTTCTCTTTACTCAAACGAACAAACAAACGTTTGTTGTCCGATCTTCCCCAGGAGCGGATCATCCCCCCAGACCCAATCACGCCCCAGGAGAAACAGCAGACGCTGCAGAGACTGAACGAGGTCATCCAGTACCGACTGGTGTCCAACGAGCTGCCCAAACAGATGAGGAGAATCAAGATTGGTGAGATCTCTTGTCATGTGGCTCGTTGGAATGTTCCTCTTGGGGTTTTGATTCAGATATGATATAGAGCGACTGAGGTAGTTAGGATGTAAATGGTGTGCTTTAATGAAGATCACTAAGAAAGTAGATCCATAGATCAAATTGTTTTTATGCTATTACCAAATGTGGACCTAAGTATGTTTGCCTACTGTCCTAAATTTCCCTTTGTTATGTAATCTTATGTTATAACGTTGGGTATCCCTTATTGGGTTTTGAAATAATGGGCGAGATTGCAATAGTGCATATGATTCTAAAGTTAAAATCAAAGAAAGACGAAAGACACCTATACTCTTTCCCACCATTTTCTCCAGTGAATATTCTTTGCAAAACCATGAGAGCTTTGCCTTCATTGAGGAAATATTGGTCAAATAGGATCAAATATCCTTCACTACCCTTTACTGAACTACTTTGAGCATATCAAATGTCATGAATCACTCCTGATACATATCCTGGAAGCACAGGTAAAGGCATGGGAGGAATGGATGCCCAACAAAAGATGGGAGCAAGACAATTAAGGGAGAAACAAAGAAGAAGAAAAACAATTGCAAGGGCCCAAGCTGTTTGCCTTCTAAGTTATCACTTCTATGTCATTGAGAACATGAAGCATTAAATTTTAACAGGAGAAAGTTATATGTTTTAGAGGCACTCTTGTCCTCTGGAAATAATACTGTATTGTTTATGTGTAGATTATATGCAAAATGTAGTTCTTAAACAATATCCTCTTATGTTTGACAGATCAGGGACGGGTGAAGTTCTATGTGGAACATGAATTTGAGGTATGTTTTTCCCCCCATTGTGAGCAGTTGGGCATTGAGACAGATATTGTCGTTTATTTTTTAATCACATTGTTTTTTAGAAATGTATAGGAGGTTTGTGAATATATGAACAAGCTGTTAATAAAAAAAAAGAGGAATCATTTAGGCTCTGAAGTTGGTCCAGATGAGGAAGAAAAAGGAGGGATTCTGTTCCATTTTATTTTCCAGAGAAAGGATAGTTCAGTCAAAATTGTCGAAGACGGCCATTGTCAAAGAGAAAAGTGATTGGTTGACGTTTGGGATAGTGTCATGATAATGTTTTTTTAAAAAACACGGGGGGGGGGGGGGGGGGGGGGGGGAGTTGTTGTCTGTCCAAGTTATTGTCTTGGATTTGTGGCCATTAGAGCGGGTTTGACAGTATTCATGAATGTGAACATAGCTGTTCTTAAAAATAAGGTTTGGTCGTTCATGCTAATAACCTTTGAAGCTGAAACGTAATTTTTAAACATTTCTTTCATTATGCTTTTAAAAATGACTTCAGGACCTACAGTAAGATAACATTACCTATTCCGTGTATAATTTTGTTTTTAAAAGAATGATTCGTTTGCATCTTTTAGGTGACCTTGACTTTGATGGGAGACAACCCAACAATCCCGTGGCGTTTGCTTGATGTCAATTTCCTTGTTGAGGATAATGAGACTGGCAGTGAGTGTCCTGTTGATGTTAGGTGGAAAATATTCGAGTCTGAGAGACTGTAAACAAAAGTATTTGATATATCATAGAACAATTGACCCATGAAAACGGAATTGTCTTTTCTGCCACTACCAATGAATCTGAGCATTGGCTCATAATTTGTAATTTTCACCTCTTTCTATTTTTTCTTTTTAATTTTAATGTCAGATTTATTGGTAACAATTTTTAAGTTCGGAGACAATTTTGCTTTCAGGTCAGCAATCGATGCTTACTTTCATTTCTTATGGTAGAGCAGTTCTGTCTATTGTATGGTGCAAAACTATACTTAGCTATAGACTGTTAATGTCTATAAAGATATACTGTGGTTGTATTTTACATGATAGATATGAATTGTTTTTGTATGCGTTTACCACACGATTAGACACAAATTCGTCTTTCTGTTGGCAAGGCATCAAATTCCAGGTTTTAATAGCATCAGAGGCAGGGATAAAGGAGGGTGACATAAATGATTCTCTACAACAGTCCATTTGTTATTGGAGGTCAAAGTGTTGTGTGGCACAGGTGTCTCATTGGTAGTAATCCAGTGCCAAAAATTTTCCTTATTGCAAAAAGAAAATAAATAACTTTAAAAAAATTTATATGATTCACTTTACACGAATGTTATTGCCTAAAGTGAAAGTGCAGCTAGACTGTTAGGATTCTGGGGCCTGCTAATTTAGATAATGTGCAAACCACCTTAGTTTAATGAACAAACTCAATCCAGGTTCTCATTAGTTTATCCAATGAATGGCCGGTTATGTTTTACAAGGTGTGAGTATAATAGATGTGATTTTTATTTTATAGTATAATTATATGTATAAAAGTTTGATTAATTTGTTACAAACATTTTTTGTTTTTGCTTTGCTCTTCAGATGGAAAATCATTGGTGCATTCAATGCAAGTAAGTACTTTGTGCTTTCATAATTCATCCACTTGGCTGTAAAAGAAATTAATTCAACGATAGCTCCAGAATTGTCTGAAGAAAGAACTTAATTGTCGTCATAGGAAATGTATCTATCTAGCTATCTTTGTATCTATCTCACACACACATTATGAAATGGGAACCGTTTTATAAATTGTTTTTGGCTGGGGTGCCTCTTTTCCTTCATCTATGACATTTGATAGAAAATGAGGTAGACAAAATAAATGTCAATAATTTCTATTGACAAAATGTATGCTATTTGATGAGAAGTAGAACAAAGTTCCCCTCTTTACACAATAGATGTCATTGATTTTTTTAGTACAAAATGTATACTATACTATTTGATAAGAAACTGGACATCATTTTCTTCTTTATGAAAAACAAATATAAATTATTTCTTACAAAATTTACACTATTTGATCGGAAATAGGACATTGTTGGCCCATTTTGCTGCCCCCCTTTACAAAAAGATAAATGTCGATGATTTCTCGTTGCCCAGGTCCACTACATCCATGAGCTGGCCCAGTCCAGGCTTCTCCACGTTGACCACCCCCTGCATGACCTGTACAAGTTTTTACGTATCCTTTGCTCACATTGATCTACTTTTTATATGTACACATGTGTTTTTATTGATGTGTATGTCTGTGGGTTTGTTTTTTTAATGTGTGTGATGTGTATGTCTGTGTTTATATTTCTGCTCCTTGGACATAATAGTAAAGGGTATGATTTTTTTTTTTTTAGCGTGTTATGTGTTTGTGGGTTGTTGGTTTTTTTCTGAAACACATCAGGTATTTAATGCATGTTTGATTTTATCAAAGCTTTGGATATAACAGACAAACCATTTAAAGCTCTATATGCATACCTTTTGTGTGTGTCTGTGTGTGTGTGTGTTGAACGTATGATGGACTTGCCAGTTTTTCATATTTGTGTTTTTGGTCTCTATAGGTGAGCTTGATATGTGTGTGGCACTTACAGCTTCTGACTTAAAGTGGAGACCTTATATTCTTTTATATCATTCTTTGACCTAGTTGTGGATGGGTTTGTTTGTTGTTGGGTTTTTTTAGGGAATCAAACTCGAACAAAAGACTATAGAGATATGTTTTCCTCAACTTGTCGTCAGATTCTTTTTGCCAGTCCTTGCAGCTAGAGGTTCTCCACTCTCAGGTGAGGAAATGTTGGATGTGTTGTTTCTGAAGGAATAAATCTTTTTTTGTGTGTGTGTGTGTGTATGTGTCGTTGTTCTCAGGCCTAAAGGTTGAATAGGGTCGGATATGTGAGTGGTTGGCGGGTGCTCTGGTGTGGTCTGATCCTTGTTTCCTGTCTCTATCAAACATTTATCATCCTTATATCTCCTCCTTTTCTTCTTTGTAGATTTCTTTTTAGTAGTACCTCTAATCCTAGGGATTTTAATGACATAATTGTTTTGCAAGTGCCATAAAACCCTTACTGAAACCTTTTTTTAAAAAAAAGATTCTGTAACAAGAAAAAAATGTAATTTATTGGGGGGTTTTTTGTGTGTTTGTTCACAGGCTCAGAGGTTGATGAGTGACCGCTTGAGGGACAGCATTCGCATCGAGGAGTACTCACTCAGCAAGTCTCTGTCCATCTCCTACTGGAGGTAATGGCTTGGTCATCCCTTGGCTGTTCTCGACATTATTGGAACAGGCAGTGCTAATTATTGTGTGATAATGCTTTACTTCAAAGTCCATTCCTATCCCTACTTCATGTGATTGGTTGGCGGGTGCTCTGGTGTGGTTTGCTCCTTCTTTCCTATCTCACATCTATTGTCCTTATCTCTCCTTCTTTTCTTTAAATGTTACTCTGTAGTATTACCTCTAATCTCAGTAGGAAGTTTAGCAGAAGAAAAGAACAAATTGTACAAATTAATGTCAGCCACTTGTATATAATCAATGATAGTACATAACAAGATGGGCCACTTCTCTCTTTGAGCCAATTAAAAAAGTGTCCTCAAAATTTGGTGGCGCCCTCTTCACAAAAGCGCACTCTTTGCGAACAGAGTTACCCTACTTGAGTTTTTAAAAATTAAAGTGAAACTAGCATGTTTTGGGATAAATTTCGGAAGAATGCTTTTTTAAAATGGTTACGCTGACAAAAAACCTCTTCCGGAGGAAAGAGTGATGGTTTTCTTCGTTTAATTTGACTTTAGAATGAAAGGCGAGAGGTCATTAAAATTTAAAAAACCTAAAACTACGCTCTGAACGTACCCGAACTGCTGATGAACAGCAGTCGATCTGCGCACGCAAGGAGGTGCTATTCCTATTCTTCTTCTGGAAAAATGAAAGAGAGCTTCAAAACAGACTGCAACGCCATCTGAAGCAAAGAGCATACTTCCTGCGGACACTTTTTTGGCTGAGTGGCCCATCTTGTTATTTACTTTCTTTGATATAATGTATTTTACATTAATTTTAACAAAGCGGCTTTGTAAACATCTGCTCTTAGTACCATACTAACTGTATCTTTCTTTTTGTCATTTGCATTGACTTTTGTATTTTGGTGACTGTTTCAGAGACCAGCTGAAGAAAGATAAACATCAAGATGTTTATACAAGTATGTTGTTCTCCTTTATATTGTTCTGTCTTTCTTTTTTGTTTTTTTTGGTGTGTGTGATTAAAAATATTTTGGGGGGAGAGCTGAATGTGAACTACAATTATTGTTTTTCTCAAAGCCTGTTATTTCATTCTTTTAGCTGCTGGGTTGAAAAATATTCTGCATCTATGTTGTTTGTGGTACAAATTAGGAATTTAATGGATTTTAATTAAGAAGTTCTTTTACAGTATTTCTTTTATACTGTAGAATAATAAGTTGATATCATTGACTAGGAGTTTGTTCAAAGTTCACAGAGTGGGTGGTTTGAGGATAACTGTGGCAGGCCTTTGATTTTACTGACCTTCTGTTACACCTAGCAATCTTACTCTTTCCCAGTGCCATATAATTTTTATCACTTTAATGAGTTTATCTTTAACTCTGGTGAGTGCTTGGAGTGTACCACTGAAAGATCCCACTTCTTTCCTTTCCCTCTTGTATTTCCATCTGTCTTACATTTGTGCAGCCGGTAGTCAAGTAGTTAGGCTACCTGGCCTGCTGTAATTGTAAGATTGCATGTGCAGGGTATTGAGGCTCAGCACGATCCAACTTTGTGTCCTTTTGAAACGCCCTTTACAGGAATTTTTCCATTTGGCTTGGCCCTATTAGAGACGGATTTTAATTTGGGAGCTCTCACCTCTTAGATAACTTTATAGCATTGCTAGGGATGTTAGCCCGATACCATTTATTTGTATTGTCTTTTTTCCTCTACTAAATAACTTGTGTCAGTGTGCTTTTCTCTACTCAAACAAACTCTTTAACAGAGTTCAATTCAAAATTCCCCTAGGTTAATATTGTCTTTCCTTGTGTGTGTGTGTGTGTTTCCAGTCCACAAGCTGAGTGTTCACGTGTGCGAGGAGGACGAGGGGAAACCGCTACAGATTTCCCACCAGCCGCCCATGTCTCCCCTGGAGAGCCGAAAAGTTGGGCTGGCCATCAAGGTAGGAAGGACAATCGTTTATGAGGCTCGCTGACAAAATTAGTCACTTCTCTCGCAATCCTCGAATTGAGGTATCCACAGAAAATCAACACTGGGGCCAAATTTTATTTTCAATTAATACTATTAGCTTCAGGTATACCATGTCTCTTATTATTTAATTTCATAATTATGTATTTGGGAGGCATCGTGGTGAAATCAGGCGCTCGTCAAGATAATGAAATCAGAGAAATCAGCATTTTTTGGCCAGTTTGGAAATTTTTTCGAAATTTTGGTTTTTGGCTGAACTGTCCATTCAAAAACAGTTCTATGCGTAGATTTTATGGCAAAATGTTGAATAAAGGCACAAAAAATGTAAATATGCAGTTTCCAAAGACTCTTAAGCTATGGAAGTCGACAAACTTTGGCGTCCATTTTCTTGCTAATTTTACTTCTTAAACCAGGTGACCCAACCTTCACTCGCAAATATCTCAACTTCTATTCAAGATTGATGGGTATTTTTTTCAATAGCAGCAAGACAAATGAGCAAGCTTTTCGATGATACCAATAAATCTACATGCCCAAAAATTTACGAGCACCTGATTCCACGGCGTTGCGACATATTTTACAGACTCCATCTCTAAATTTAATGTCTATTTCCATAGGGCTAAAATCCAAGAAGTTACTCATTTTGTCAACACGCCTGACATTTCTCTTTTCTTTTTTTTTTTGTTTGTTTCCTTCTTCTTTTTCTCATTCATCTTTTAAATAGACATCCCAACCTATAGTGCGAAGATATGTTTAAACAATAGATAAATGGTGTCTTCATGAATAAATTATAGTATATTTTCAGTTCCAACCTTTCATAGGGTTGGGTTTTTTTCATAAATTCCTGAAGCACAATTTTATCTTTTCTTTCGTTTGAAAATATAATACAAATATTATTATGTTCTCTCAGTATCCATTATGTTCTCTTAGTATCGTTTATTCATGCTGTTCTGTTCTGTAACAGTTTATGACTGTGTGATATCATCAATGTGTACGAGGGTGTATGGTTAAGTTTTGTGGGATTGTCTTTACTCAAGGATGTACTGGAGAGAGAGAGAGAGAGAGGGAGTGAGGAAGAGAGAGAGAGAGAAAGAGGATTACTATAGGAGCTGTGGGCTGCATATGTTCTTTGTATTATTGTACAGCGCACTGAGCACTTCTTTGTGGAAATGCGCTATATAAATGCAATTTATTATTATTATTTATTCTAAATGAATTGACCCTTTGTTCTTCAGAGTGACCACTTGTCCATAGAGAAACTGCTGATGCAGACGATTGAAGTGAGGACTCATTCTAAGCTGAAGGTAAAGGATTTTTGTGTGGATCTTACAGTTGTTTAGGCTGACGTGTGTCTTAGAATAGATCACTCACTTGGATGTCATCACTAAAGGTTAATATTTATAGTTGAAATTGAGTTGTGTTCCTCCCCCCCCCCTGTTGTTTTTTTTGGCGGGGGGAGGGGGGGGGAGAGACACATTGAACATGTATGAGGCTCTGTTGATTTTAGAGAGAAGATTTCAAAGAGATGGTTACTTGTCTTGTCTTATGTTTTCCTTTTAAAATATCCTGAATTACAGATATGTTTACTAGCGTATATGTTGTTATGTTTGGGCGCCTAGCAGAAGACATGCTACGTTTCTGCATTGGGAAATTATGGAGAGCTCTGACTGTTTGCTGGGCTGTCATATCCTACCACAATGAGTCTTTTGATAGGCAGGGTTGATGAAGCCTTCCTCCTAAATGATATAATTCTGTCGGTACGAAATAAGTCATTTACAGTCAGTCACAATATGTCAGACAAATGAACAGGTTGATGTTGATGCTTTTTGTTTGTTTTTATCACTCAGGAATTGGCAAGAGAGATACAGAAGATGGTAGATGGAAAATGTAAGTGGTTTGTGTTTTGATTCCTTAATGCAGGGCACCATAGTTATTGAAATTGTGTCACTTTGGCCCAAACTTCAAGTCCGTCCCAATAGATGTTTATTAGATTAGTATAACAGTTAAAGAAACTTTGTAGGAATTGTTTTGTTTGTGAATTTGTTAGTTCACTTGGTCTGAAAGAGATTCAAGATTCATTTTTTGTTTGTAGAATATTATTTTATCTCACTAGCTCTTCCAGGCAGTCTTGCCTAAATCTTGGATGAGTGGGTGATTGTGTAATGTGGAAAGAAATAAAGAAATAATTCTTTTGTATCTGTTGTGGTGAATAGTATGCCCTTTGAAACGGATAAATTAAAGAAGTAATGCATACGTTTCAGAGTCTATTTTGAACAGATTGATTGGAGTTTCATGCTCCCCTCAAATAACCTTGAATCTATATAAAGCCTTTTCTGGGATTCTAACCTGTATTGTTTTATTGTATTTTCATATTATTTTATTTCTTCTGGAGTTGTTGTTTTTTGCCTGGTAAGTGGTTTAGTTTGGTTTCTGACCTGTGTTTGTTTGTCACATGTACATAGGTGATGTGTGTGACATGCCCGTGGCCCTCCACGTGTCTGTGCTAAGTCCCTGCATGTCTGCCGAGGTCCTGAGGATCTCCATCGATGTACAGACCGGCTCCTACATGGCCTCTGTGCCCTGCTGTGGTGAGTTTTTGCTCTAGTGGTTCCGTGAAAACGTTGTGAGATATATTACAGAATGGATATTATTGTGGGTTGTTGGTGGGTGCTTTAGTGTGGTTTGCTCCTTCTTTCCTATCAAACGTCAGTCGTCCTTATCTCTCCTCCTTTTTTGTGTTTGTTCAAGTTACTCTCTTGTAACGCCTCTAATCTTCGGCACTTATGTGATCTTATTGTGTCGCAAGTGTAAAACTCCTCACTATAACTATCTAAACTAAAGTTAAAAGATGTGAAGGTGAAGGGGAAAGCTGGGTTAATGACTTGATTATAGTGTTCTTACAACTCAGCTTCAGGTTGATTATGCTTTTTTTGTCAGCTTGATTATGCCGGTGGTTAGAGGACGATATTGGTTACATTGGTAGATCTTACTTCTTTACTTTTTCTTGTTTTTGGTTTCGGTCTGTCTGTCTTGCCCTTTTCCATGTTTTAAATTATTGTGTCAGTGAGTTTTACTTTTCTCATACAAGCCAAAGCACAGTGAATGGTTCAGTGGAATCACAAAGCCAAAGTAGAATATATCTTCACGTATAGGACAAGATGGATTAGATACAGGTAGACTTGCATAATACAGAGATTTTAATTGTCTCAACTGATATTTACGAGTGTTTTGTTTCCATTCAATGTTCGGTGACAACTTGTGTTTTCAGACCGTTCCGCGGTTCAGGGCATTGAGGAATGTCTGAATGGGGAGCACCGAGGACTGGAGAAACTTTTGATGAAACTCAAGTAAGTTGTTAGCAGTACAAGTTCTTTATGTACACTATTTCCATTGACAGTGAAGAAGGCGCTAAGATATGACGATATGGAATAAATGGGATATAATCGCATAATTTTGAAAAGGGAACAAAAATATGTTTTAGGTGTGTTTTTGTCTATTGCTACTAAATCTTGTCTTTCAATGTCAGAGCTTTTGAGGGGGGGGGGGGGGGGGGAGGTGGTTGAGATACATTGTCTCGCAGTATAATTAAGCAGCTGTATTGAATTCTAGCAACTTGATTGGGATTTTTTTTAGGGTACGCTGATATTATGGTAAATTGATTTTGTTATTTTTAAAAGCACACTCTTACCAAGTCACAGCTTTTTACTCCAACCAATGCTACTCTTTTCGTAAAAACAAAATTGGGGAGACTTTTGTAGAAGGAAATAACGTGTACAGATTCTGATAAATAAAAGTTTATTTGAGAAACTTGAATAGTCTGCGGTCTACTGGTCCTACAACCGCACAAACGAGCCACGTCCCGGTGTGATCCACAGAGTGCATCTGGTCCTGCTCCGCTGCGAGAAGTGCGTCCAGCTGATGGTGGCCAGCTGCCGGCCCTCCCTGCCCCTCATCAACGTCTCGGAGCATGCCCTGGCCAAGCTGGCAAGCACCCGGCTCTACGTCAAGGTGCCCAAGCAGTACGGCATCTACGTGGTACGTCGCTGTTTGGATTTATACAACGGAGTCCGCTTAAATCGAACAAAATCTGCGCAACCGCAGGGTTTTCCCTTTGTTTAGCCTGGTTTTCGGTTTTGAGAGTTTGCTTGAATAGAAGAAAAAAGTATCGGGGGTTTTATTTTATTTTGGTTTACCCACATACATACACACTCGCATGCACATACACTCACCATGCACTGACTGTAAGGATTCTCTCTCTAGGTGGTGGAGGTACGTAAGAGCAAGATGCATGAGACGGAGGTGAACTACTACATGTATACACACACATACTCCCCCCCCCCCCACACACACACACACACACACACACACACCATCTGACCATTATGATTCTCTGTCTCTCTCCCCAGGTTATGGAAATACGGGAGGGTGAGATGCGTAAGGTGGAGGTGAACACACCCACACACACACACATACACACTTGTTACTCTCTCTCTCTCTCCCCAGGTTGTGGAAGTGCGGGAGGGAGAGATGTGTAAGGTGGAGGTGAACTACTACATGCACACACACACACACACACACACACACACACACACACACAAATACACACACACACACACACACACACACTGACCATTATGATTCTCTGTCTCTCTCCCCAGGTTATGGAAATACGGGAGGGAGAGATGCGTAAGGTGGAGGTGAACTACTACATGCACATACACACACACACGCACACACACTGACCGTTATGATTGTCTCTCCCCAGGTTGTGGAGGTGCGGGAAGGGGAGATGCGTAAGGTGGAGGTGAACTACTACATGCACATACACACACATACACACACACACACACACACACACTGACCATTATGATTGTCTCTCCCCAGGTTGTGGAGGTGCGGGAGGGGGAGATGCGTAAAGTGGAGGTGAACTACTACATGTTGGAGACCACTATGTGCACGGCGGACGGGGCGGAGGATGAGATCGGGGAGGATAACCTGGTCAAAGCCTTCATGAAGGCCGGTCAGCTGACGCCCATCGACACCTACTCCATGGTCCACGGAGAGTTCTGCAAGATTTTTGGTGAGTGGCGGAGTAGATTTGTTTGGGGGGGGGGTTGTTTTTTTGTTGTTTTCTCGCTATTTTATGTTTTATTGCTTCTGTATGTTGCTGTCTCGACCTGTGCTCTCTTAATGAGTAGCGGAGTAAATAAAAATTTGTTTTGTCCCTGTTTTGTTGTCCTTGGCTCTTTATTTCTGTTTTGTTGCCTAAGTCGGTCGCTGTCTCCACTTCTGCTCTCTTGGTGATTGATGGGGTAGATCAATTTTTGTCTCTCTTATTGTCGTTGGCTCTGGGTTTTTTTGGGGTTTTTTGTTTCGTTGCCTCTGTCGCACTTTGTCTCTGCCACTGCTCTCTTGGCATTCTTCTTTCTCTCAATCTCTCTTCCTCTCTTTTTCTGTTTTTGTTATTTAAAAATGTCAGTAATGATGCAAAACTCTAACTCAGTTCATGGACCAACTCATTGATATTTCTTTCCAGATGGAATACCTCTGACGATGGACAGCTTGACTAGGAAGAGAAAGGTATGGACTTCTGTGACATCCCCTCTGTAAAAATTGAACATGAGTCTGGGTTCTGTCGGTCGGGGATCAAGTTTTTTTTTATTACAGATCATTATGTGGAATTGATTATCTGATTAATGAGTTAGATTTAGCCTGTGCCGAAGAGAAGGAATAAAAGAATGTATGTTTGTTCTGTTGTTCATACATTTCTTTTTCTTTCTCTCTCTCTCTCTCTCCCTCTCTCTCTGTTAAATTCCTTCTCTCTCAGTTGTGCACCCCTGTAAGGTTTCTCTGTTGACATCCACCCCTTGGCCCTCATATGACCTTATGCAGTTGCAAACACTGTAAAACCTCTACTAAAAAAAACAGTCTCAGTTGCGCTTTCACAAAATATTTCTTATGATAACAGTTAGTTGTGAAAGCAAGATCCTCTTTCTTGTTTGATCAGATGGTGCTTGTAAGTGGAAAGTCCTAATAGAAGGCCGGTTTAACGCACAACCCACCTCAAAAATGATCTGACTTGTGTGGATGGGAGAGTAAAACACATACAATTACATTTACGTATGGATATGCATACACATACTCCTTCCTTCACATAAGCACACACATACACATACAGGTATGCACACACATACTCATTCCTCACACAAGCACACTCATACATACTCAAAACTTTGCGTTTGTGTGTTTCTCGTGCTGGTGGTTGGAGGGTGCCACTTGTAGACCCTACTTCTTTACTTTCCCTTTGTTTGTGTCTGTCTGTCTGTCTTACTTTTTTGCCCAGCATTAATTGAAAATTATTATGTCGATATGGTTCACTTTACTCAAACAAACAAAACATCAAGTTCCCTGTTGTTCCCCCTCACCAGATCTACTTGGGGGAATGCGAGGAGGAGCCAGACCCCAAAAGGGTCAAGGGGTCGCCGTACTTTGTCAACGAGCTGGCTTACCTGTTGGCCAGGTGTGAGGAGAAGTTGCCATTTGTCTTCCTGGGGGAAGAGGTATGTCATAGCCAACAATTTTTGTAGCGAAATCTTTTGTTATGATTCTTCTCTTGAAAGCCTACCAAAATTGCGGCTGTTTAGAGACTGGTATTCCATGTAAGGACTTCTTTTTTGACATCCACCCCTTGGCGCTCATATGACCTTATGCAGTTGTGAGCGACGTAAAACCCTCTACTAAAACTAAACTGAAAGAGACTGGTATTGAACTCAAGGTGAAGGAGGATTAAATGACAAGAGGGCCTGTATGCAACATTTGAAGCTGCAAAAGATGATGTAATGACGCAGTACCTCATTTGTTTTGATTTACTCTCAGCAACAGGCATTTATTGGCACCCATTTGCCTAATTGAGCATATTATTATGCTCCACGTTTTCTTGTTATGAAAATGTACAGCAGTACGGCATGAATATCAACATCTATTGTTGCAAAATGGTGCCAACCTTTCTTTGTGGCTAATTTGTGTGAGTATATTGTCAAATGCTTCAAATGAGATACGAGTAATAACTTCTAAATATATTTTATGTACAAGTTGTTGAATATAATATGTCAGGTGAAAATAATTGTTAATTTTTTTTTTTTTTACAAGTGATGTGTATACAACACCAAGGCTCTGCTTTGAATGAAATTCGCACTAACATATTTGCGACACAACAAAATGTGACACACTTCTGTTTCTTGTGTTTTCCAGCTGTCGAAGCACGGCGTCAGCCATGACGGTGGCATGCTGGACGGCACCGGCACCAGTTTCTCCATGAGCATTCTCTAGTAAGTTTTCTTTTCTGCTACAGTACTATTGTGTGTGTGGATGAAAATTCCCCAAAAAAATTTGGGATTTTGGGTTTGTTTTTTGTTTTTGTATTTATGATTATAATCTTTGCTGTGAAGAAAGTCCCACTGTTTTGTTATCTTTTATTATCTGATTTTACGTAACATGTTGTCCCCTCTTTGTTTTTGTCTTTTCAGGAGGGACAAGTCTTTAACATAATGAGTGGGTGCAAAGATTATTCTAAAAGATTGTTTAGTCAATTAAAAGATTGTTTAGTCAATTGAGACAAGGCACAAAACTTTCTTCAATATCGATGAGAAGTAAGCATCTATATTTTTGCAGGCAGTTTGAAAAGAATTGAACCACAATGTTATTCCGTCTTAACTTTGGTTACCCCTCCCAAAAGTCTTGCTAAGGCCAATGGTTGGAGAGCACCAGTAAAAGGTCTACTTCTTTACTTTCCCTCTTTTTTTTCTGTCCACATGTCTTGCTTTTTTCCCCAGCACAAAATCACCTCCATTATGTCGATGTGCTTCTTCTTACTCAGACAGTGGGTGGTTGGTGGGTGCTCTGGTGTGGTTTACTCCTTCTTTCCTATCAAAGACCTATTGCCCTGATCTCTCCTCCTTCTTTTTTATATTTGTTACTCTCTTGTAACACATCTAATCTTCGGAACTTATATGACTGTATTGTGTTGCAAGTGCTGTAAAACTCTTCTCTTACTAAAACTTACTCAGACACTTGCTCAAGAGAGATGCATTCTGTTGTTTTCAGTTTCCCAGAGATCTTGGGCTTGCCTGAAGATGTCAACGACGGACTACGCAAGCAGTTGCTGCAGTGTCGGTTCAGGGTCCACAGTCGCCAGCCTCGTCTCTGGGTGGTTGAGGTTTGTTTCCTGGACTATGTGTAATGTCGTAATTGTTTTTATGTTATGATTTCTAGGTATTTGATCTATGTCAGATGAGCACAAAACGATAACAAACATTCAGCCATATTGGTTTCATAGGAAAGGTTGTGTTTGAGTTTCCTGCCTACTTTCTTGAAGTGGTGTAACTTCTTGCAATAATTGCATGTTTGATTTCGAGCAGGGCATTGAAGAAAAGGGGGTGGGGAACCTCCACAATTGGTACAAAATTTCTTTGGCTGAATCTTTGAACTGAACCCGTACTTGAGTTTATGTTTTGCTGATGGGTTGTAGACTTTTGATGACAGACCGGTGAAAGTGTAAGATTGTAATCTCAACAGTAATGCTCTAATTTGACACCCCTGATTCATAGATGCAATGAAAGAATAAGCTTAAAGATATGTTTCTTTGACCATGTCAAAGGACTCTCCAGTGGTTGAGTGTGTGGTTTCCTTGCCCAGGCTAAAAACCAATGTTTAGTAATATTGATCTTCTTCTTCTTTGGGTTCCCTTGCAAGATGGTGGGGGGTGGGGGCGGGGGAGTTGATTGCTAATTTTCAACCTGCTGTACAACTGATTTTGACCTATGTGATTGTTTTAGATAAATATTAACAATTTGGCTGGAGGTGTGTGGTCTTTGAGGTGTGACCTTTTGTTCAAAAAGAGTCCTGCACTGTGGTGTCATATAATTGTACAACAACGAAAGGAAGAATAGGTTGAGATGAGGATATTGTTCAAAATGTTCACTGTTCTGCTATTCCTTTGTCATTGTGGGCATGTAAAGAAAATGTTCTTGGCGCTCATATGACCTTATGCAGTTGCGAGCGCCGTAATACCTCTACTAAAACAAACAAAAAGAAAATGTTCAATGTTCACACATGCGTTAAAAACAAGCACAGGTTGAAAAAATTGTTCACACATTATCACCAAAGGATTGTACTGGGGTTTTTGGGCTGTTGTTGTTTTTTACTTTTGCTGATATAATATTGTTGGAGAAGTCGCATGTTATGTAGCAGCCGTTAAGCTTATGTTCTTTTTATCTGTTTTTGTAAAATGTTCACAAGTATTTAAGTCCACATGCTGAAGTACATCCAAGAATGAGCTCAGAAACTGAGATTTTGATTCTGTTCATTCCACAGTTTGTGTTCAACAAATCTCCTGTGCCCAGTATACATATCAAAGAAAAAGGTAAAGTCATGTTAAATTTACTGTTTGTACTAACTTGAGGTTCTCTTCTTCTCCCCCCACCCCCTCCCATCTGTTTGCTGGGATATTATACCTAACTTAGCCTTGGTTGGCCCTGGCAGGCAATGTCAAGGAAACCGACCTCTTAAATGGTCTGAATTGTGCTGATGAAGGCAGGCGTAGAACATTTTAACTATTACAGTTTACTATAGTGTGTCTCGTAAATGATGTAAATTGTGTCGATGTGGGCCTAAAACACTTTTTGACTAACAATTGACAGGCCCCAGCCAGAGGATCTGTCTCTCCCTGGACATGAACGGCGACAACGTCCAGAAGACAGTGACCGACCTGCTGGACGAGTGGACGTCCATAGCCTACCTCTACGGCTGCGTCATGAGATTTGCCGACAGCTACAATGGTAAATAGAAAGGTTTTTTTGTTGGGTTTTTTTTTCTCTGCCAGCACGGCATCTCTTCTTTGTTTTCATCCTGAGATTTGTTTGCATTGTTTTTATCTCGAGATATGCTGGCAGGTACGACCAGAGCTGTTAAAGTACTTTTAAAAAGGTACTTAAGTACAATCTAAAATATGTACTTAAGTACAGTAAAAGTACTTTCCTGTAAAATGTACTTGAGTACACGTACTTTTAAAAAAATTACTTATGAGTACATTTGGAGTACTTTTGCTAATATGCTAAAGCACTTCAATACTAATGCAAAACTTCATATTGAATAACAATTAACATTTTTAGTATAATTGACAAATTCGGCCATTTATTACTAATAATGTAAACAGTATACAAAGCATTTGAATATACGCACTGAACGTAGGTGGAAATTGTCCGTGAAATTGAAAAAAAAACCCAGCAAACAAACAGACGCAACTAGTGAGTAAGTGATATTATGAATAGAATTTGTTTGAGCAAGACAATATGATCAAATGTAAGTCAGTCCTAGAGGTCGGAAAGTAGGAAAAGTATCAAAATTGGAAAATATAGAGACAAAGTTGATCTAAGAAAATAAAAAATTTATGAAAATGGCCAGCAAAAAAAGTGCTTTGAATTCTTCTTTAACAAATCCTCAAGGAATCAAGGTAGCCTTAAGCACAAACCACAAAAAAAGGAAAAAAGAAATTTAGGTAGCCTAAAAAATGTTAGATGGATATACATTGAGAACTCAGTTTCAGTTTCAATTGATTATAATAGTGGTAAGACAGAGTTTGGTCACACTGTGTAGTCCACGGCAAATCAAAATAGGACTACATGTAATTTCCTAGAGTCTAGTAAGTGTAGTGTAACCAAAGATTCTCTACTACAGTAGTCTCCACCTAAGCTCCCAGCGCTCGGGAGCAAGGGAAATATGGGATCTTAGCCCGACGAAGCTAAGGAAGAATCTACAGTGGCCCAAGAACTGGCGTGACCCCTGGGTAGGTTTATGACATATAGCGAGCAAAGAGTGGTCATCCTTGATGACCAATCACAGTAGCATGGTGGCATGAGGCAAGCCATAATATTATACCGTACACTCATTAGCATATCGTCTCGAGATCTTTATCTACGTTTATCCAGTTGCCCCTCCCCTTTACCTGTCCAAAAATTGTAGCCTTCCATCTCTGATTGAGTCCCCACGCCTTTGTCGTTACGTACCATTACGCTGTGACCACACCAATTAAAATTCAGGCTGTCTCGCTATTTCGGGAATAGAGAAAAACTGCCTTCAACTTCAATGGTCAGGGAAGAGTTCACAGTTCGATGTGATCCTGCCTGGAGCGAACTTGTAGGCCCAACCCACCCAGCGAGGGATGAAAGTTCAGGTGGCGAGCTCAGATGCGAGTGCGATGTTTGGGGAAAAGAAACGCCCATCTGTCTGTTCACACCTCGGTGTGATCCCGTCTGGGGATCATTGTACCGTTTCATGGAGTTTTACTGCGCATGTGATCACTTTCACAAGAGCTGATCTTTGACGCGACGGGCAGTTTTTTAATCTCAACTTTTAACTCTTGGTTGATCGGCTGTGCCCGCCCGGGTGTTTGTTCCGTAAATTATGATCGGAAATGTCGGCACTTATTCTTTCATTAAGCTTCAAAAGTACTCAAAAGTACTTTTATAAAAAGTATCGGAGTACAGTAAAAGTACTGGTTCTCAAAATGTACCGGAGTACAGTAAAAGTACCGAAAATTGTAACGTAAGTACAAGTACCGGAGTACTTGTACTCCGTTACATCCAGCTCTGGGTACGACAAACGCTTAATAATCTTTTTTTGGTGAAAGTGAAGTATTGACTTCCTGTATGGGTTTTTTTTATGTGCTTGTTTTTCACAAGAAAACTAGTGGCTTTTTAAAATATATAAAGACTGTTTTGTTACAAATTGTTGTAGGATTTGACTTGGGTTGGTTTTTTAAAATATTGTGGCAAGGTGTTCAACAGTAGTAAGCCCAGAAAACTTTTTATTTTTTTTTGAGACATAAATACTGTTTGATTCTTTTAAAGATTGGACCACATTACGATAATGCATCTTTTCCTGCTTTTTAAAAGATTTAGAATTGGAATTTTGACCAAATATATCATGATTGAGGACATAATTATAACTGCTACCACAGATTAAGAAATACAATTCTTTACAAATTTCATCTTTTTGGGCTTACTACTTCTGAACAGCTACCTGACAATTTGTTCTTTTTTTTCTTTCTCTCTCTGACAGATGCTCGCACAGGCTTGTCCACAATGATTGAGATCCAGTCGTACAACTACCGGAAACTGACCATGGCGTACGGACCCAACATGTGCAGCCTGGTAGGAACATAACGCTGTGCTGTGGCTGTGTGCTGAGGCAGCTTGCGATGCTCGTATTGCTGTTGTGTTGCATTTTTTATAAGGGGGTGGGGGGGAGGGTGTTTTTTGTGGGTTTTTAAAGTGTCCGAGCAGAGAATTTAGTAGCAAATATGATCACTGTTGTTTGTTTCAGATCTGGCACAGGAAGAAAAATAATTTTGTTTTGTTTTGATTTTATTGAGTAAAGTTTTGTTGCAGTGGGAACATTTTTTGGGATGTTGTAATTTTTCTTTAGTTTGTTATCGTAACTTTGTTTGATGCTTTACACCCTGTCAACCCTATATAGTGGCGGGTGGCTGGAGGGTGGCCCCTGGTAGGTCCTGCATCTCTTCTTTTCCCTCTGCTGTTTCTGTATGCCTATTTTGATTTTGTCCCTTGCATTTAATGCTTCTTGTTATTGAAACTCAGTGGGTAGTTGATGGGTGGCCTGGTCTGGTTTGCTCCTTATCTTCCCGTCTAACGTCTATTGTCTTTATCTCTCCTCCTTTTTTTTTTTTTTGTGTGTTTGTTACTGTCTTGTAACCCCTCTACTAATCTTCAGCACCTATATGACATAATTGTATGGCAAGTACCGTAAAATGCATACTAAAACCCAAAAAAAAACCCAAACTCAAAAAACTGGTACCGTTGTCCACCAGGTGAGCGTGGCGTGGCGGCCGACCAGCAAAAGGTTCGGTCTGACCTTGGGCACGCGGCTCCCGTCGGCGTCTGCCAACCCACACATCCCCATGCTGCTGCAGCTGACGGAGGAGTTCAACCTGCACGGCAGCCTGGCCCAGCTCAGTCAGGTAAACCCACTCTGACGTCATTTTTCAAAATCTTCCCCAGGGCACAGGGCGGTGCTACTGATTGAAGTTGTCTTTCCCAAAGGGGGGACATTGACATTTTCTTATGCATAGTAGAATTGAAAATTGGCTGATTTATCAATGTTGTTCTCATACTGTGCCGGAAAAACATAGAGGTAACTGCTGCTTTTTCTTTCCTAAACCTTACTATCGTCATTTTTCTTCTACTTCTTTTGTATGTTTGTCACACTCTTGTGACCTGCTATTTCCGGGGTGCCTTGAAACAGACTTTTTGCTGTTGAGGCTAGAGAGGTGAGCAGAGTAAGCCTGATTCCCCGTTTGGACTTCTCTGTTGACGTCCACCCCTGGGCACTCATATGACTTTATGCAGTTGCGAGCGCTGTAAGACCTTATTAAAACAATAAAACCTACTCTGCTGTCATTTTAAAACAATATAGTATATGCAGTTGTTACAATTTTCCAGGAGAGCTAAAAACCAAATGTTGTTACTTTTCATCTGGTCCTCATCCTCTCTTTTTGTTTTCTTTTTTTTTAATAGACTCTCCACGACACTTGGACCCCGATGATGTCGGTCAGCAAACTTCCGTCGGCAGCCATCTTGGGTGCCAGCATGGTAAGTTGGGGAAATCCCTCCCCCCCCCAAGACTCTCCCTAGAGGAATCCTGCATTTATTGAAGAAGAGTGTGCCTCTAGACATGTGAATTAGATAGTAAAGTTGTAGTTATTACAATGGGTATTTTAGTACAGTGTGCTGAAGCAGGGAGTACTGTACCTAATTTTTACGCAAGCTCATTCTTTATGTTGTGATAATATCTAAGGCACTTTCTACTGGTAAGCTTGTGATCGTTGAAGCTAGTTCTGTCCTCAAATATGCGATGTTGTGGTAGGTATTGCGTATGCAATTCCATTAATTTGAAACTATTTCCCCTAGTTATTCTGTTATCTTATTGATATTTAGAATATTAAGTAGGTTCATTTCATTTTTTGTTGAATTTTTTGTTTTGTTGCAAATTCATAGTGTTTAAATGGAATATCTGAAACTTCTTCAATGGAAGGCGTCTTAAGGTCCCACAAAAGGCTTCATAGAATACAGCATTCTTACAGTGTCGCAATCCACAGATGCCTGTGGGCATTTGAGTTGGGGAAAGTTGTGGCTTTTGGCTGTGGCGGGTGGGGGGGGGTGCATTTTTGGTTTTTTGCCGCAAGCAGGACTCATTCTAGAGCCAGAAGTTGGCATATAGATTTGACCTATGCTGGAGATATGGCAGGATACTTTTGGAGAGTGCAGTAATGAGTCAAGTGAACCCATGCTGTGATGTGTATGATCCTATTTTGTCTAAAGGAAAAGACGCCATGGAGGAAGTCTGTTTTGAAAATTTCATCTGAATAATATGAACTAACACATATTGTATGTATCATGTGTGTGTATTTCCTTTTTTTTTCTTCTTCTTCAGCACCCCCGACAACATGTGCAGAATTTTGCTGTTCTACCTCAGTCCAGTTCACATGTTCGGATTGTTTGTCGAAACAGGTGGGTGTCAATGGGATGTGGAAGAAAAAAATAAGACATTCTTTTTTCATCTCCTTTGGAAGTAACTTGCAGCATGCTTAACCGGATTTTGCCACTCTCTTTCTGTGCCAGACTCATTTGTAAATTTGTAAAAGTATGTGTGAATATGTAACTTTGTCTTTAATTTTTTTTCAGTGAAAGTAGCTTTATGAATGTAATAAAGTGCCTCTTTTTTGGGTTGTTTTGCTGCTACTTCTCAGTAAAACTTTTTCCCTGGTTTTTTTTTTTTTTTTGGGGGGGGGGTCTCATTTTGACCCTCTGAGAGAGATAATCAGTAATATTTTTTTTTTTAATGGGTTTTTAAATGTCCTGTTTTAGACAACAAAAGATCCTGTCAGTATGTAAGTAGCGCCTATAAATGGCAGCTTGCACTATATGCTTCCCAGGAAGTTGAGATTGTTGCAGAATGCTCTCTTCTCTGCTTGGGTAATCAATTTTAAAGCGCATAGAACTTGCTGTTGAACAGGGATTTTCGCTATACAAATGCTGTTAATCATTATTATAATAATTATTATTTTCCAACAGCCACTGTCTGGACGTTCACTTCCGCGGCAACAAAACGGTGGCGGTCAGAGACGGGGCCTACAGCCTGTTCGACACAAGTAAACCCATCGAGGGGCTGTACCCCACTCAGGGTCTCAAGGTTTGTACTTCTAACTATTTTTTCTGGTTGTTGATTTGTTGAGGAGGCTTTACTACAGAGATAGGAGGGCATCTGTCGTTTGATTAGATAGAGAGAAAATTCTAAAACTCTTCTCCTATGTCCTATGCTTCAGTCCTTTTATCAGATACAAAGTTCTAGAACTTTTTTGTCCTCTTCCCACATGCTTTCCTGTAGTGTGTCACAGTTATTTGATCTGACAGAAATTTCTAGAACTTTTTTTCTTCTCTTCCCACAGGCTTTTCTCTCTATGTTCGTGGACGAGGGTGTGACCATGGGCATGGGCAGACAATCCACGTCGGCGGATGACAACCCCCCGTCCCCTCAGCCCTCGGAGCTGTTCATGTCCAGTGGCCAGGCAACGGGCTCACCGCTGTCCCGACAGCCGGGCAGCCAGCAAGGTCGCCAGGATGGCTTCCGTTTCCACAACCCGATGACCCCGCCCTCGAACCCGCACACGCCCGCCTCACCCGGATCTGCCCGATTGCCCGCAGGGGTGAGTTGTGTGCAGATTATATAAAGTAGTTGCTTTTTATCGTTTCCCCCCCCCCTCCCCCCTACAAAAAGCATTATGATTATTAATCTACAATGTTCAGGAAAAATGATTTTGATTTTATTTTTTTTATGTGTCTTCTTGAGCAGGAATTTCTACAGGTATTTATAGATGATTAATTCCAAATCAAAATTACATCAATTATCAGTACTCATAGCCAACATTATTTTCATCATTTCATTTCTATCTGCATTCCAACAACTGTGAGATGGTCTTCAATGCCATGAGTCAGATATTAGTGTAGAAAGTGTACTGTGCCTACCTTTGAGTGTAGGGCTTAAAACGTCTACATTGACAAGGTAATGAATCAGCCTTATTGTGTCAGTGTGCTTTTTTAAACTCAAAACTCAAACTGTCCTAGATTTCCAGAGACTCCCGGATTAAAAAGTCTCAAACTCAAACACTTTGTCCGGTTCAGGTGAACCCATATGACCCAATAGTATTTCAAGTAACCTGATTGGGCTGCAAGTGCTGTAAAACTCTTACTCAGACTAAAGTAAAAAATACCATTGGTCTCAATATTCCGCTTTTTAGTGGATTTCCGCTACTGCCATTTCCACCGCTATACTGTTGAAGAACTGTCACTGGCAAAGAGGGTTCCTGGGAGGTGCACCTCCCAGTAATGTGCCACCACTTTCGGTACATAATCAAGATTGTAAATATTTGGTAAGTGACTCTTTTACTTGAAATTATCTTCCAAACTCTCAAACTGGTATGAAATAACCTTACTTTGACAAATTGATGATTTTTGTTTCAGCATTTTAAAGATAAACAGTATAATAATACTGGGTGTCTCGCGAAAATGATCTTCTGTCGCGATCACTGGAAAAGTTCCCCTTTTTTTAAAACTGAGTTGAGAGCCATGAAATACTCACTTGCAACTTCCTTTGTCTGTATGGATCAGGTGAACCCGAGCCCGTCCACCGCCCTGATGGGCACGCCCTCCCCCGGCACGCTCCTCACGGCCAACTCTCCCAGCAACCCCCAGCTCCACGTGCCGTCTCCCGGCTCCTTCGTGGCTGCCTCGCCACAGTCGTCGCTGATGAGTCTACACATGCAGTCGCCCGCCGCCTCCTTCATGGGGCCTGGTGAGTCAGTGTGGTCGTGTGTGTATTTGGGGGTGGGGTGTGAGGGGGGAGAGGGGTTTTAAGATGATTTTATCTACGTTAAAGGCCTTTGACTCATACATTTGCACTTTATAACGTATGACTCAGCAAATATGTGAAAGAGAGATGAAAGGAGAGAGAGTGATATATATATACATATACAGAGAGAGAGAGAGAATGAAGGAGAGTGTGATAAAGAAAGAGAGGGGGGGGAGGGGGGTTTAGTTTCAGAGGTCTATCTCAAAGGCTTTTGAAGAATGTACACATGACTCATCATGTTGTCCTTTGAAATACTTAAGTACTTAGGAGTTTCTTATTTTTTATTATGATTACCTTGTGGTCGTTCCCCCCCCTACCCTCCTCCCTGGTTGCTCCTTTTCAAAACCTCTGTGTACAGTCGAACCAGCTCTAAAGGCCACCAGTCTAAGACTATTACCTGTACAAAAGGCCACTTCCAACATCCCCCCTTGTGTAGGTTTTTAAAAAAATATATATTATAATGACACTGTCCAAGACGTCTCATTATTTATGATAAATGTGGGTAGTTTGCGGATGCTCTGGTGTGGTTTGCTCCTTCTTTCCTATCAGACATCTATAGTCCTGATCTCTCCTCCTTCTTTTTTGTGTTTATTACTCCCTTGTAACATCTAATCTTTGGCACTTGTATGACCGTATTGTGTTGCAAGTGTCGTAAAACTATGATAAACAATCTATTCGTCGACCACGGGTTGCCATCTTGGACAATTTCAACTCTATATATATGAAGTTTTTTTATTTAAAAAAGATCAATTTTTGTTTTTGCTGTTCCAGGCATGGTAGATGGAGGCTCCCCGTTCCCCGGCTCTAGCCTGGCCATGCCCTCACCAGGGGGCGCCCGCGGCGGGTGGGTGGGCTCGCCGTCCGTGCAAGCCCCGTCGCCGCACACCCAGCAGTCGCCAGGACACCCAGCCCTGCATTCGCCACAGACACACAAGGACGGCGACCACAAGATGGCAGGTCAGTCTGACCACAAATGATTGATGATTCGGCTTAAGTGGATTGCTTGCGGCAGTGACGATATGTCAACTATAAAATATTTGTTTAAATTTTTCAGTAAATGTAGTTTTATGAATATTATGACTTTTTGCAGGTAGTGTGGTCTTGATAGTTAACTTTTTGATTAAGAGTGGGGAGAGGAGGAGGAGGAGACCCATACAGATTTGGAGGAAGAGCAGAGATAATTTGGTCTGGATATTTAGTTTATTACCGTTGAATGAAAGCATGTTTGGGGGGTGGGGTGTAGTTACAAAAACTGTCTCGAAAAAAATAATGACATTGCAAATTAAAGTTGCTAGTTATCGAATTTGATATCACTTTTGGAGGAGTTTGATACTTCTGGTCTTGAAAAAAATAATTTATGTGATTAGAAAAACAACATAAAATAAAGTGAAAATTCCCATGTTTTATTCTCGTTTTCTCTGCGCGGTGGCTCAGTGGTGAACCCACCGTCCCGCATCCTCCCGCAGCGGGCGTGGGCTGCCTCCATCCCAACCATCCTGTCTCACAAGGGCTTCAACACGCTGCTCACCCCGACCCCCGAACCCCAGCAGGGGGCCGTGCAGCACCCGCCAGCCTCCCCTCTCGAGCGCTTCTTCGCCTGCATCATCATGAGGAAGCACATGGTCCGCGTTGTCAACTCTGAGAGCACCGTGAGTTACACGCTAGATCGAAAATACTCTTTACTTTAGTTTTCTTTAAGAACTTTTACGGCACTTGCAACAGACTTAGGTCATATAAGTGCTGAAGATTATAGGTGTTACAATAAAGTAACCAACAAAGGAAAGAAGTAGGAGAGATAAAGAAAATAGGTGTTTTGTAGGAAAGAAGGAAAAAATACTAAGTAGCACTTTAGGTCAGTAAGCATACGCTGAAGAAAAAAACAAACTTGAGTGACGATTCACAGTTTTTAGTCAACAAGCACTTACAGATGCTACTAGTAGGTTTCACTTCTTATCTTTCCTTGTGTTGTTTCTATTTGTCCTATTATTTTCCAGCACTAAATGGTGGTTATAACACCAATGTGCATCTCTTTACTCAAACAAACGAATGAAACAAATCGTTGATTGTTCTTGAAGCTGTTGTTGTTGTATCGTCGTTTCCAGATCACTTCGGTGCTCAGCTCCGAGCCGGGAGTGACTTGCTTCAAGGTGGAGAGTATGCAGTTCAAGATAACGCTCAACAGCACCACCTCGCAGTCGCTGCACATGAAGATCACACCAACACCCGGTGAGTCCTAGGATACAGGGGTAGATATCCTTCTGCTATGTGTTGATTAAAGGTTTTGGTCACTGAAAATAAAGAAGCCTCCCCACCCATCCTTTAAGAAAAAATAATAAATTGAATAAAATGTTTAAAAACAACGAAAAAAACCAAGTAAACAAAATATATCTGTATGCTCAACAGTTGGAAAGATTATTTGTCAGCCATTTTGATCAGATTTTTAGAGTAAGGGCAAAATTTTAAAAATGACAGATAGATACAAGAGTTTTTAAGGGCAAAAATGTGTTTTAAAAAAAGAAAAAGAATGTAACCTCTTATTTGATGACGAAGGCTTATACTTTTGCAACACCCCCTTAAATTGTAAAAATGTGAACTTGTTAAGAATGAAACCTGACCTGTTCCCCTTATGGATTGTTTGTGTGTCTTTGTGTGCTTTCAGAGTACCAGGACAAGTGGACTGCTGAAGAGTTGCAGATCCTGGAGAAGTTCTTTGACCTGAAGGCCTTCTGTCCACCCTACAAACTGAACGCCCTCACCTCCATTGTTAGGATCGTCTCGGCACCGTATCTCATCGTCAAGGACTGCATACAGATCATGAAGCTAGAGCTGGTAAAGAGACAGAGGGAGTGAAAGAGAGATGAGAGGCTGAGAGGGAGAGAGAGAGACAGGAGAAAAGAGATGAGAAACTGAAAGAGAGAGAGAGATGGAGGATAAGAGGGAGACTGGAATATAGAGTGGAGAAAACTGAAAGAGAGAGAGGAGAGGAAAGGAAAAAAGAAAGGAGGTATGGACATGGAGTGAAAAGTAGGGAGAAAAAAATTGAGGAAAGAGAGAGATTGGAGGAGGAGGTAGGGAGAGAAAGCTTGTGTGTGTGTGGAAGGGGGGTGGGGGGGGGATTGTAAGAGATAAAGTGACAAGGAACGAGGTGTGTTCGGGAGGGATGGAATGGAGTTTTGTGCTCATCTCAAATTCTCTTCAGGAGTGGTCAGCCCACTTTTCTGTTACATTACTCAACAGATATTTTTTATTTATTTACTACGATCCCTATCATTGTATAATCATTGCAGCTGTCCTGTCCATATCTTTCCAATGTCTGTCTGATAGGTGTTCTCTGTATTGTGCCTTCATCGTCTCACTCTGCTTCTTTACATAGATGCCGGACCGATCGATGAAGTGGACGGTCCAGTGGTGCTTGACCATCCCCCCTCCCCTGCACTGTATCTCACAGGTCGGAGGCCCAGCGTTTGTGGTCAAGTCCAAGATGATCTTCATGGTGAGTTGTGGCAATGACCTTCAGCAGTAACGTTCCCCCTCAAGTGGGAGGGCATTCTGTTAGTTCAGTTAAAATCATACTGGACTGGGGACCAGATGGCCCTGGTTTGAATTCCCAACGAGGCTTTCTGAACTTGGGTTGTTTTTGGGAGGTTTAATGGCTCAACACCCAGTTGACGCAGTCCTATTGGGTGAACCTTAAATATGGGGGTTTCACCACGTTTATAACGGTATAGCGATGAAAGGGGCATTAAACCTTTAGAATTCGACACTTTTTTGTCAAATGGGAACTCTGTTTTTGAAATTTGAAACAGTTTTCTACTCGGCATTAATGAGGGCATATCGAAGGCAGAGCTTTTGCCCCAAACACACATTTTTATACAAGTTACCTTTTTTAAATCTCAGCTTTTCTCAGAATACCTTTCAAAACAGAATTAAGCTGACATTTACTCAATGAACTCAAGTCGCTTTTAATATTAAGCCTTATTAGGCTATTGATGTGTATTGCTCTTAGAGTATGTATCTATATAACTCCAAATGTCTTGTAATTAAATTCCTGCATGTGGTTGAATGATGCGATGTGATAAGTACATTTTGTCAGCTTTACTTCTCTGTTCATATCGAAATTTAATGAGAGTAATATATAATTTAAATTTTTATGTATACCTGCATGTGTTTTTACGGTCCTATACGGCCAAGAAAAATTTCCCTCCTGGATAAGAAAGTATTATCTTATCTTATCTTATTATTTCCCTCCTCCCTCAGCTCCAGCTGACTCGGATTGGCCTGAACGTGGGCTCGGGGGAGCAGTCCATCGTAGTGCCGCTGCTGTACGAGATGCAGGCCAACAAGCTGGTGAAGGTGGACTTGACGCGGCAGACGCAGGCCAACACACCCTCCATGCAGGCCAACACACCGTCCCTGCAGGCCGTGGGCACCATGCTCAACCGCTTCGCTGAGCACTACCAGCAGCAGAACCACAGCAACGAGTGCGCCATCCTGCCAGCCATCAAGGAGCTGCTCACCAATCTGGTGCTGCCGGTGTAGAGATACGAGACAACAAGGGTTCCCTGCCGGTGTAGTTGTGAGACAATAGGGTTCCCTGCCGGTGTAGCTGTGAGAGAACGGGGTTCCCTCCCTGCCTGTCTAGATAGTAGATACAGGGTTCCTGCGGCCTCCTTAAATTCAAGGAATCCTTGAAAGCTCCTTGAATTTCTCCGGTTCAGGCTTGAAAAAATTTTTTCTCGAATTGCTCTTGGCGCACCGTCATAAACGGCATGAATTTCTTGACCAAATCTGCTTGAAGTTTTAAAATTTCTCCTTGACACCTCCTTCAAGTTGGTGGGGAGTTCATGGCAGGAACTCTGTGTCTAAATACAAGACAACAGGGTTCTCTTCCTTTCTAGATACAAGAAAAAAGGGGGTTCCCTACCTGTCTAGATACAGTGCAGCCTCTCTATAACAACTTCGTCGGGGACCAGAAAACAATGTTGTTACAGAGAGAGAACTGCTGCTTTTTCTTTCCTCATCCTTACTATCGTTATTTTGCCTCTACTTCTTTTGTATGTTTGTCACTCTTGTGAACTGCTATTTCCGGGGTGCCTTGATAGTTGAAGCAGACTTTGTGCTGTTGAGGCAAGAGAGGTGATAAGAGTAAGCCTGATTCTCCGTTTGGACTTCTCTGTTGACATCCACCCCTTGGTGCTCATATGACCCTATGCAGTTGTGAGTGCCGTAAAACCTTAAAGAGTTGTGGTTATAGAGAGGCAACCAAAAGTTACTAATGATATGTAAGAAAAAAATCGGGACCTGGGCACCATGTCGTGATACAGAGGATGTCATTATATCGAAGGTCGTTGTAGACAGGCTGCTCTGTATTAGACATCAGGGTTCCATGAGAGTACGAAATATTTTAGACTGTTTTAGAGGGTTTTGCAAGAAAGAAAGGTGTTTTTAGACAGTAAAGGAGACTTTATCAAAACAGAACCGTTATAAGACGGAGAGTGGGAGAGAGAAATGTTTCGGACAGCGAGAAGGTTTTGCGAGAGAGAAATATTTTTAACCTGTGAAAGAAGCTTTATCGGGAGAGAAATGTCATTAGGCTGAGAGAGAGAGAGGGAAAGACATCAATATTTGTAGACAGAGGGAGGGTTTAGTGACAGAAAAGTTTTCAGAGAGCGTGGGACTTCACTATTGATCTGAGCTGTGTCTGTCAAGTAACCGTAAGTAGTGTAAGGTTCTCCGTTACATACAGATGAGGGGAAGGTTACACTATCGTGTCTCCCACTTAGCCAGGGTAGACCGTGACAGATAGGGTGGAAGCAGCCAGTCTCCTAAATGATCTCAACTGCATTGATGGGGTCATAAAATACTTGTAATACAATGGTTATCTGAGACATGTGTATACAAAAGGGAATATTGCCCTTGATTTGCCCTCTTCCCTACCCCTGAATGCCTGATCAGTCTCAGGAAATTATTTACATTTTCATATTCTAACTTGTAATTTATTTCAGTCAATAGGAATGATCTTACAGTTCTTCAACTTCTAGCTTTGATGTTGTTATGTGACCATTTTCTAAAGCCAATTTTGCTGCCCATTGTAAACTCGATGTATGGCTAAGCAAGCACTATTGTCCTCTATCGTCAACTTTTTTCTTTAACTCCCGGCTAGTTAAAAAGAATTAATGTCGCCCATTACAATTTCTATCCACCTTGACCTAATATGTATGCTTTCAGTACAGTAATGTTTGTGTGTACGTATGATGGTATAAGTGCGTGAATGCTGTTTTTTATGAGAAAAAGGAGGATGGAGGTATGCTACCGTTCAGAGATTGCGATTGAATGTCTGTATAGTGCTTCAGCTGTGTACAAAACATTTGTACTTGAGTTCATCTTGGAACTTTTGGAAATTATGTTAAAAATGAAGTTTGCAATAGTAAACATTGTGTAAATAAACCATGGAAAGATTATTGGGACTGTGGTTGAATGCCTACGTTGCACTTCACTTTCATGTCTGTACAAATCATTTGTACTTGTTGGAGTTTCTTTTTTTGGTATTAGGAGTATGATGACCTAAGAATTGAAACTTGTGGCATACGATGTGTAAATAAAGATATTTTCTTGTCCTGTTATTTTTGTTTCGGGGGTTGTTGTTTTTGTGTGTTTACTTTACAAAAAAATGTTTATAGCTTTACATGACAGGCATGAATTTAACGCCTGTTGCCTTACAGCTTGAATTTTACTGGTGTCTGTGGTAAAGTGGAAAGGCGCTTCACTGTCAGATGCAGGAGACCCGAGTTCGATTCTCCAGTGGGGAGAATTTTTATTAATGCGTATCTGTCTTCCTGCCGGAATGTTGTATCCATCTCATCCCTGCTTGACCTTGATAGGTAGGATCGAAGCCCACCTCCTAAATTATCTAATTGTGTTGATGGGGGCTAAAAAGCATGTACATTCAACAAATGATTTAGTGGGCTTTTGTGGCCTATAGGTTAAGGTGTTGGCCTCACATTCAAAGGTCGCGGGTTCTACTCCGGTTAGCGATCGAAAAAAATTTATTCTCTAAAATGGTCTCCTTTCACCTCCTTTCCTGCTCTCTTGCAATGTTTTGTAGTCTGCTTTCGTCTCCTCTTCCTGCCCTTCACCTCCTTTGCCCCCTCCTCTGGGCTCCTGACTCTTTCCGCAGCCTTTCTACTGCTACTCCATGGCTCCTTTTTACTGCTGTCTTTCAGGCACACCCCTGATCTTCTGGTAGGAAAGATCTACACCTAGTCTTCTCGGACAAGGGAGAAAAATCTCGAAGATTCCGAGTGCAAGTTGTGCGCGTTAAAGATCCCTTGGTGGTCTAAACTTGATAAGAGTAGGCTTCGACTGCCACCCACGCAAAATTCAAAATTTCCTACCAACTGCCCTACTGTCTGGGGAGGTGTGCTCCCTGTCGAAGGCGCTCATCAAAATAATGAAATCCCAGAAACCGGTATTTTTTCACCATTGAGCAATCTTTTTCTCTTTTTTGGGGGGAGGGGGTGGGTTGTTTTGGCTCAAGATGTCTTTTTAAAAACACATTTTTGTCTGGATTTTACTGAAAAGTGTATAAACTAAACTTGCAGTTTCAAAAAACACTCAAGCATTGGAAATAATGGAAGGGAAATCATCAAACCTTGGAGGCTTTTTTTCTCGCAAGCTTTATCCCTGATACCAGATGACCCCCACCGCCTTCGATTGAAAATATCATCTATTCGAGATAAATGGGAATAGTGAAATAACTCCATATACCCGATATGACGAGCGCCTGATTCCAGTGTCGCCACACAATCTTTTTAAATGCCTTATGCAGTTGCGAGCGCCGTAAAACACTTACCAAAAAAAACAACACATAGAAAAAACACTACGCAAGACCTCTTGATCGAAGTGAAGAATGTGGGCGATCTGGCGGAACTTGCGGCATACCGCCGTAAACCTTCAACAAAACTGGCACCTGTTTGTTGTTGGGTTTTTTTTTTTTTTTGTTTTTTTTTTGGGGGGGGGGGTTCTTTACCTCTTTTATACCCGGGTATGACTGTGAATCTCACCCTTCGGGATGCTCATGGCTGCATCTTGTTCTCTCTGAGAACTGTGAGTTCTGGCCCCCACCGTTCAATTTCTCACCCCTCCCCCACAAATAAAAAAATAATAATAATAATCAAACCACAACAAAAGCTGATGTTCTCTTAATAAGAGAGTTGTAAAAGATCTGCATGTCGAGTAATTCTTATACTAGAGTCATTGCTTACGTGTACTGTTTTCAATACATTGTTTTTTCTTCCTCCTTTTTTTCTTTTTAACTTTCATAAACGTATTGTAAACTTAGCTTATGACAATCTTCATATTTTACCCTGCTAAACATATTTTATGAACGGTACTCAGATTCAGAAACCGCATTGCTCTTCCCTATCTTTTTCCCACCTGTATATCCCTTAAAAATCTCATCTTCACACATTGCTGTCTCATATTGCTGTTTCATCTCACCATGTACCACTGGCGCAATGAGAAAAGGAGAGGGTTAGGCTACCGGTTTTAAGAATCAACCAGACTTTTTTTTTAACGGATTGACCAGGCAAAAACTAAAAAAATACGTAGTTACCTTACTCTAGTAGAAGAGAATTAACTGTCGGTTGTCCTATTTTTTTATACGGTGGGCTTTTTAATACGCCCCTTTCAGTGTCAACACTGCAAGTGCAAGATTTATTTAAGAGGAAGTTAACTTCTTACTCCGTCTCGACAAAACCAGCTGGTGGAGAGTTTTCAAAAGTCATCTAACTTTTCAAGTTTAAGAACGTCCCACTTGGCTAGATCTATAGGATTTCAAACTAGGTTCGTTTGCACCATGACTTCAAGACCCAATGTGTTTTCCTGATACAAATAAGTTGCCCCCGATCGGCAGGACTCGGAGCTTATAGACCTACCATTTAACAGTGTAGGCCTATACAATGCCCAGTGCGGATCTGGGTGCTTTACAACAGTTTACAATCTAAAATGAGGCCGAATACCAGTAGATCTACGCCTATGTTTAAAAAAAAACAACAATCATGTGCATCTTCAAACACAGTCCCTGGAGTAGAACTCCCAGCTGATAGCCAACTTCCTTGGCAACGAGAAGGCTTTTGACAGTATAGACCGAGCAACACTATGGATAATGGAAGATAATGAGACACCACGGAATCTCACAGAAGTTAGTGAACCTCATCAAGAGCATGTACGAAGGGACAAGTAACAGGGTTGTACATGATGGCCAGCTCACTGACAGCTTTGACATCAAGACTGGTGTGAGACAGGGATGTTTATTATCACCGTTTCTCTTCATATTGGCAGTCGACTGGCTGATGAAGGAAACCACCAGAGGACACAGATATAGTATACAGTGGACACCATGGACACAGTTGGACGATCTGGATTTTGCAGACGACTTGGCGCTTCTGTCGCACACCCAAGAACAGATGCAAGCAAAGACTTCAGTATTAATTTTAAACAGCCTATCAGAGTCTGTTGGATTGAGGATCCACCCCGGAAAGGTCCTATAAGGACAGATGCACAACGAAAGGAGCAGGTCACAATAGAAGGAAACGCACTAGAAAACGTTGAATCTTTCTAATATCTTGGGAGTATAATTGACAGAAATGGAGGAACAGGTGCCGAAATAAAATCCCGCATTGGAAAAGCACAGGCTGCTTTCATATCTTTGGATAGGATTTGGAAGACCAGAGATATCTCACTTCGAACAAAGCTGAGGATTTTCAATTCAAATGTGAAGTCGGTCCTGTTGTATGGATGTGAGACATGGAACGCATCACAGACTTGCATAAAGAGGATCCAGGTTTTCTTGAACAGGTGTCTAAGAAAGTTACTGAGGATCAGATGGACAGACAGGGTTACCAATGTGGAAGTGTTAAGGAAAACAAGACAGATCCCAGTCAGAGATGAGGCAAGAAGACGGCGGTGGGGATGGATTGGACATACTCTCACTCTCAGGAAGTCAGGCAGCTGCATAACAAGGACAGTTTTGGATTGGAACCCACAGGGTAAGAGATCAAGGGGAAGACCGCGTGGAACCTGGAGAAGAATCACAGAAATCGATGTACAGAAAAGTGGGAAGACATGGAATAACATCAAGAGGCTAGCCCAGGATGGAGAAAGGTGGACGGTGTTTGTCCGTGGCCTATACGTTGGTGCAGGGTGAGAAAGGCAACAATGATGATGATGCATCCTCAAATGAGAAAGAGAGAGAGAGAGAGAGAGAGAGAGAGAGAGAGAGAGAGAGAGAGAGAGAGAGAGAGATTGCTGTTGAGTCGTTGACGTGCGTTCATTTCTTGCTGGGGAAAACAGAATACTATAATGAAGCAACACCGGAGTCGATAGGATATGATTATGATGTGAAAACGTTTAGTGATCTTCTTCAATATGGTTTTATTACATTTCCTTACTGAGAATGAGAAAAATACTAGTTTAACAGTCAGTTTTGCCGAGCGGCTGGAACTGACGAGTTTCACTTTTTTGTTGTTCACAATTTTGCAGGGGGGCAGGGAGCGAAAAAAAAATTTAAAGGATTACTCCCGTCTGCGCTGATAGCTCTTCCGGGTTATCGTTAATTTTTCCTTCCTGGCTAACGGCCTACCCTGAAATTATTGAATCGATTTCGTTCTGTTCTCCCAAAATGTAGCAACACAGGGACACCCCCCTTTATGTTTTGGATGTGAGTATGATTAGAAAGAACATTTTATTGATGTAGGATAATGTTGATCAAATCAAAGGTAAGTGGAGAAGCTGAATAATTGTTATTTGATAGGAGGGAAGCTGACGGAAGGTAGCTCGAATGCGCCCTCTTTCCTTTTGAAAAAGAATTGAGGTCAGCAACAGTTCTTAGTGCTTGTGGTCTTCGGAATTGATTGTTGTGGTATCTTTGAATTGTGTGTCGATTGAATCGTCGGTCGTTTAAATGTTAGCTAGAAGCTAAGCTCACTGAGAGGTCTTTCAATTTTACGGGATATCAGAGATGTCAGAATGAGGAAGTGGTCGCGACAGGGGCAGATCATCAGATGTGTAGTCTGCATGCCTGGCATAGCATTGCTATTCCCGAAGGACCTGCAATCTACAAGTGATCGTTTTGAAACTTGTTGAAAGATTAAGTTTGTTTTCCTTGTGACTTAACCAGTACATACTTCTGGGGGCTCAAAATCAAAACTAAAACTACTGCAGTATTTTTCAGTAGCAATGATTATTTATTTTTGTGTGATATTGAATGAGGTTGGGTGGTTAGTTTGAAAAAGTGTAAGTGATGGTGTTATTGTTTGTGGTTCTTGTTGTTGAATCAAAATCAAGTTCTCTGGAAATCGAGATCTATCTGATCTAGATCTAGATTCTAGGACATCTAGATCTACATCTTGGTCTTATTATTTTCTTATAATTTTCGTTGACATACTTCTAGTTCTAGCATTGGTAGAGTTTATGACTATCTATGACTATGATGATCAGACTGGCCAATATTTATTTGAAGTGCTAGGCTTGTAGTAGTGTCCCTTTGCCTTTTCTAAGCTTTTGTACTGTGAGTCCCTGTACCCGTACTGTGGTATTACATAGTCACCCTTAGGAAATTAAAAGACATTCTTACCTGTCTGGCTGATACATTATAAAATAAAAGCCAAAACCAAGTTCCGTTGCTGCTTACAAATTTTTATTAAGTTGAGTAAGCATGACGTTTCAGTTTTAGTGGCTCAACAATGTTGTCTTCTAGATTCTAGATCTTTTGAAATATTTAAATAAACTTTTTAAAATGGGAGTGTATACAGACCCGATAACCGGGAACAAAGTCACAAAGTATACAGACCCGGTAAAGGAACTCTTTTGTGATTTCGGAGAGTTTCAGCGCCCTCTTGGCTCAGGGTAGACCTAGGTTCTTCAAGATCTATGGTCTAGATCTAGATCTAGACAGACAGACTTAAATCTTTGATCTAGTTTCGCGGCTAGCCTAGATCTAAATGAAGATTGCGGATGTCTTTTCGATGAACGATCGTTTTTCCTCCGTTTTGGAGTTGGATGGAGGAATCACAATTTGAAGAAAAGAACAAGTTACAATGTCATAATTTCAATCGAGCCGTCCTCTCTCTCTCTCTCTCTCTCTCTCTCTCTCTCTCTCTCTCTCTCTCTCTCTCTCTCTCTCTCTCTCTCTCTCTCTCTCTCTCTCTCTCTCTCTCTCTCTCTCTCTCTCTCTCTCTCTCTCTCTCTCTCTCTCTTTCTGTCTCCTCTGTGTATAGCTCGCCTTCTCTTTTTCTTTGTTTGTCTCTGTCTTTCTTTGTCCCCACCTATTTCCCACTCTAATTCTATGTTTGTCTAGCTGCCAACTGGGGCATGTCATATACATTTTGCTAGCAACCCCCCCCCCCCCTCTCTCTCTCTCTCTCTCTCTCTCTCTCTCTCTCTCCCTCTCTCTCCCTCTCTCTCTCTCCCCCCCTCTCTCTCTCTCTCTCTCTCTCTCTCTCTCACACACACACACACACGCACACACACACACACTAGATTTCTACCGGGTCTGGGGGCTGAAACTTCCCGAAATAAAAAAAGAGTTCCCCTACCGGGTCTGTATACTTCGTGACTTCCCGGTTACCGGGTCTGTATACACTTCGTTTTAAAATTTATCATTATGTCTCTGTACTGCTGATTGTTTCTCTTTACCTGTACAGATTCTGCCAGCTATGGTGTAATCCTAATGGAAATTTATATTAATGACACTTTTAGTATTTTTGAACACGGTATTCTACTTTGAAGTGGCTATTCGGACTCGAGTCCGAACAGCCGCTGGAGGCTATTGAGATTCAAATTCCAGTGCGCGTGCGCAATCACCGGTTGTACCGTAAGCGAGGTCTATACTCGAGTCCGAATAGTCTCCCGTTGCTATTCGAACTGGATCACCACTGTAGGCCTCCATTTGTTAGTGATTGCGCTCGCGCATTGGAGTTTAACACATTACACCCTAACTCGCCCGGGATCGCCCGGGAATTCCCTTAAGCGCTCCACCCTGACTCGCCCGGAACCGCCCGCGCCGACCCAGCGTCTTTAGAAACGAAAGTCTCGCCTTGACGAGACTCTGGGGCCGGGATTTTGATTTGCATAGTATAGCAAAAAGTTTCTTCTTTCGTTTGATACCGAAACGAAATTTTTCGGGCCAGTAGTTTTAGTATTAGAGCTGATCGAAGTGCGATCGCGTTACCGACACTTCGAAAGTGCCTCGACTTGTTGAAAAGGGACACAATTGAGTTCGAAAACGGAAATAATGATGGATTTGAGCAAAAACGAGCTTGTGACAAATCAGATGGCTCAGATTTTGATGAAAACGTTGTAGGAAGTTTGGGGCGATTCCGATTGATCAGACGGAGAAATTAGAATTTAGATCTAGATCTAGGGCCCGACCGCGAGGCTGAGAGTGAGAGTGATGGGTCGGACACCCCGATTGAACTTAAGTTAGAACATTTCCAACAGTTTGCGCATACATAAAGTTATATTTTTCTGAAACTACATTCAGTTTTCTTTTTAACTTTTATTTTTTCAGGATTTTTGGAATTTGTTTAGTATTTTTAAAATGTGTTTTTTAAAGGCTAGTATTCACGGGAGGTGGGTTCTTTCCCCTTGCTTAGGATCTAACAACGGACTTCCCGTCCAGGCCCTTAGGGTGTAATGTGTTAAGTCCTAACAGAGTCCGAATAGCCGCGGCCATTCTACTTATCCTACTATCCATAAATGAGATTGAAAAACGTCTTGTAAATACCACAGCTTCAACTTATTATGACTTGAAAGCAGAATAATAGCCAGGAAGAGAGTGTGCTATATATTTCAATTTTTATTGGTTTATAACCCTTTATTCTAAAATCGGAATTAAAATCTGATTGTTTATATTGTCTCCCGCAGCAGTGTGATCCGGAGATGGTTTCCAGGCTGAGATGGATTGTTACATTGGCTGCTGCTGCGCAGAGAGATGCGGCTAAGACAAGGCAGCCAGTCCTGACTGTGATGGGCTGAGTCTTGGTCTCTGTTTTTTCTTTTGAAGTTTATATTTTGGAGCTGAGGGGAAAGCACGTCTTTTGGGATCCTGCCATGTTTCGCAATGTCTTTAGTGGATGCGTGTCTGATCGCAGCTCGCAGGCAGAGGTGTTCCGCTCTCAGAAGTAAGTCCTACAGCCAGTATTGGTGTTATTTGTCACCAGTGGTGAAGTGTTGACAATTTTTATCATGTACTGTTTTTTTTTGGGTTGGTTACTAAAATGGATCGATGTACTGTTTCTTTTTTTTTTTCTTAATTATAGAAAATTGATTGAACTGGTAATACTGGTAGAGGGGACAGATATATATCCCTGCATGTCTTTGAAAAGGCAACATGGTATTTTTTGTTATAAATAAAAGTGTTTGCTTTTAAACTGATTCACTTTTATAAAGACAAGATATAATATTGAAGAGGAGAGACTAACTTAAGAAATACATACATATTCCTTTTTCGTATTCAAATGTGTTTAAGTAACATCTATGTTTAATCAAAGTTTATCTTGTAACCAGGTCTAAATATAATTGTACTCACCATGTAAAGTATAGAGTCAAATGAAGTTACTAATTTTTCTTGCAACAACATGTTGCTGAGGTTGTCTTTGTACATTTTAGTAAAATTGTCTTTTTTGCCCTTAGTAAATCAAGGTGCGTGTGGTATTACCAAAAATTGCCCTACTTTTTATACAGAAGAGGCAGTTGTAAGTTAATAATTGTATTTTCCTTGTTTCCACAGGCTCAAGTTTGGAGCTTCGCTTTCATCAGCCTTGAAACATGGCTATTTACCAGGGCCCCTTGTGGTAAAAGCAGCTTTGCAAAATAAATTATAATGTTAATGCATTGGTTTTAGTTGGTGATGGTATAAAGTTATAGACAAGTTGACATTTTTATCTGTGAAAAGCCCTTTTGTTTATTTTATTTCAATACTGAATCTGAAAATGTTTTTTTGTCTTGAAGAGTCCTTCAATTTTCTTTACGATAGCCATACCTGTTAAAGTTGAGGCAAGAAATTTGTTGAATTGATTGCATTTCATTACTCACTCACCATCAGTGAGATTTTTCAGGGTTTTTGATTTCAAAACTGACAATAAAATTGTTTTCCAACTGGTAGGCACTCTGTTTAGTGCAGATTTGTCGTTAGGTCACAAATAGGAAAAGGAAGTGTCACGTCTGCTTTCTAATTTTTTGGCTATATCATTCTGAGAGTTTCAAATTTTCTACTGTTTTTTCTGTCCAAAGGATATACTGGTGTTTATTGCCAAGGAAGGGGTAGCAACCGCTGATGTTTTCCGGAGGCCAGGGAATCCCAATGACACAAGGCGCATTGTCAAGCGCCTCACTGAAGGGAAACAAGTAATTTATTCCAACTACAGTTTCTACACTTTGGCCTCTGTGGTAAAGGTGGGTCATCCCGTCACAGTTATGAAAATCATGTGTTTTGAATTCTGTCAGTCCTTAGTCCCTTTTTGAGCAAGGTAGGTTCCAGAACTCTCTTCTTCAATTACTGATACTTTATTTATTATTCCAAACTCCACATAAGGCTGTTAATGATATAAAAGTTTTGTTTTTGATTAGTCTTGAAAGTTTTCTTTGTGGTACCAAGAGGCTTTTGGGATCAGTTGGTAAAATTGTATTGTTTTTTCCTTTTAGTCATGCAAATTACAGTCACTCTCGTGTAGTGAAGGCTCGCTACTCATTGTAAAATGTATAATGAAAACAATATAACCAACCAATTTCTAGGTTATGAAAATGAAGATTTGCTGTTGATAGTTTCCTCTCAAGGGATATAGTTGTTTGCTGTTTGATGCAGAGGGAAATCAAGCACACACACGCTCACATGCTCACATGGGGTGCCACTAATGTGTCATCATGTCTTTGCTGTAGTAATTTGGTCCTTTCATAGAGCTTTTCTCTTTTCTGTCCAACTCTACTTAGTGCCTACTTGTCTGCCAAAAATCCAGCCCAGCAAAGGATCGACCCTTAACAATTGTTGGTCCTCATTTTAAATGACCTAGTTGAGTCAAGTATGGCATTAAACTTGTCTTTCTGCCTCCCTATCCCCCCGCCCTTCCAATACTAAAACAAAACGGACAATACTGTGATAAGAGGCCCATTCCTGTTGTGAAGCTTGAATGACTTGTCTGTGTGAAAAGTGCCATCCATTAACTCAAATAAAACCAGAAAAACTAACAAATTCATGGAGCGGACAGTTATATATGATGGATGAGCTATTATTTCCTGTGTCTTTTATTGTTTGTTTTTTTCTCTTTCAGAAATTCCTTCTGAAGATCCCTGGGGGTGTGTTTACCCCGGAGGGAGAGGAGCAACTGCTCCAGGTGCTGACCTTGCCCCAGAAGATGGAGCAGATCGAAGCTGTGCACAGGTAATGCCTGACAGAGTCTCGCATACTGTCTTCACGATGCTATTTGTACACATGCAAGTTTTCCAACTGTCCTGAATTTCCAGAGACAGCCCCGGATTCAGCAGTTGGAAATTTTAGAGCCGTATCACATGCACTACACCAAAACGAGTTCTATTTGATGTAATTTTGTTCAGTGTGGGGTAATCTGATGTTGTAATGATGGGTATCCCTGATTAGGATTTGAAAAAGCTAGCAAGCTTGTAAATGTTTTACGCCTCCTGCGATACAATTTTGATCGTCTAGGAGGCAGGCTGAGAGATGAAGAAACTCAATAAAAAGACCAAGTTTTCCGCATGCGATGGCAAAAACCCTAACTGTCACCCTACAGATGCTGGTTTCTTGACACACAGCTTGTTGAAGAAAATAAATGTACTGGACTGACTAGAAGAAGGGAAATTGGTGCGGCTAATTTTCTCTTTTTGCATGTTTATTATTTCATGTATATGTCATGCACTTCGTGTGTGTGAGGTGGTTGGAGGGCACAAATTTTAGGACCCATTTTTCTCTTTCCTGTTATCAGTTCTGTCTGGCTTACTCTTGCCTTGCACTAGATGACGATTATTGTATTGGTGCCTGCTTTTTTTTACTCCAACAAACACTCTTTGTTACTCTAGAGAGGTCTTTTTGAAGGTGGCATGCTTAATTCCCTGAACAAGTGACTAGGCTAACGGGAAATGTTCTAGGAAGAGTGAAAAAAGATGAGGCCCTTCATGGTTTCATAATTTGAACTGTTCGGTTGTGGTCAAGTTTAAAACCAACCGCACCACAGTGAAACACTGATCATGATATTAAGAGTTGCATTCTCACAATAGCTCCTGAATTCAGAATTTTAAAAAAAATGTGTCTAAAAGAGAGGTCTGAAGTGTTGATGTGTTTTTGTATTTAAAAAAAATATGTATTACACTTTCCCTTTCTATTGGAAAGGTTCTTGGTTTGAAATTGTTTGGCCTGGTTTTTTTCGCAGTGTTTATTGTTTATACTGCTTTCCGGCAACTGTTTCGTTGACACATTGTCTTTCTCATTGTTACGATTGCTTTTCTTTCTCATTATTAGTTTCTCAATGTTTATTGCTTGTACTTCTTTCCTGCCAGTTTCATCGAGACGTTGTCTCCGACCCACCAGCAGCTGGTTGCCTTACTCTTCGGGACCTGGTTCCGGATCGTGACATACTCGGAGGTGAACTGTATGTCGGTGGAGGCTCTGTCGCGTAGCGTGGCGGGGAGCATGTTCCACACGTGTGCCGAAGATCCTGCTAAGGTGAGGGCCTGGCGTAGAAACAGGCAATCAAGTCTGTCTTGCTAGGGATATGAAATTGTGTTTAAACCTGTGGCTTGAAATTTTTAGTGTTTTATGCCGCTCTTAACACAATTTTGATAATTTGAGAAATGGGCTGTTTTTATCTTGGCTGTCATGGGCTACCCTGGTTGAGTGGGATACATTTCAGTAGACAGGCGGAGATGATAAAAAAACCAACTTACTCTCTTGAAAATAGAGCAGGAAATGGCGGAAAGCCTAACAGCCACACCACAGACACCAGTGCATGTGACTTGCCCCTTTCATCCACTCTCTGATGATGGGTAAAAACCCAACCTAAACAAGCTGTCCAATTGAAGGATTATATGTTATAGAATTCAGGGTTATTATTTCGGAGTTTTATAGTGTGTTGTTTTAAGTGATTTTATTTTGCAAATGTTAGCAGCAAGATTGAGAAAATGCTTTTTGTGCTATGTATAATGGAAGGAGATAGGACATTATTTTCTGTGCTTTATTTGTTTATTTTTCAAAGTTTATTTATTTTTTCACTTTTGCTTAACTCTCCTTCTTGTTTTATTTTACTTCTGCAGGTTGAAAAAGCCAGTCGAATTATGCAGTTTCTGATCGACAACTTTGGTGTGGAAGGGATGTTTGGTCGGGAAAATATCAGATTTTTTGCAGAAACCACCCACACGGGCATCCATATACGGGAACTCTACAGATACAGCTACCATCCAGATTCGCAGCTCATTCCACGTAAGTTGCCCACTCATCTTTTTATGTCCAAGCATATCTTGATATTTGTTTTTGCTGAGTCTTGTTGTGTAACTCTTGTTTTACTTTTCCAGTTCTCTTTCTCTCTGTCTCTCTATCTCTTTCTCTCTGTCTCTCTATCTCTATCTCTATCTCTCTCTCTCTCTCCTCCTCCTACTCTCCTCCTCCCTTCCCTCCCCTCAGAAGAGAAATAAGACAGATATTTGTTCAGGAGTGCTTCTGTTGGCTTCTTGTGACTGTATGTTGTAGGCCTACTGTGTATGTGTTCCCCGCAAACGTACTCTGGTTACAGCAAAGACTGTCCGTGAATCAATGCAAAAGAATTATGAAATACTTCTTTCTGCATTTTTTGTTTTTGGTCTACTAAAGATTTCATGTTTCTATGTTGCTGGTTTTACTAACATGGAAAATAAGTAAAGCTGTACCTTCCTCACAGAATTGTTGGAGCTTTTTTTTTTGGTTCCAAGTTGTCTTTTTTTATTTGGACTAGCGTTGTGTGGGAGTTTATCCTTGCTTCATCTCAGAATTGTGATAAAATCAGAATCTGGGTCTGCTTTGTCGTATTACTAATATCGCATAATATATGTCTTGACTTCTGAACATGGCTGCAATAATTGAAATGTTCTTTTGTTGTAAATGCTTGGTAGGATTTAGGTTATAGCTGAAATGTGCAGTTCTCATACCTTTTTAACTTATTGCTCTGCTTTGAGAGACCATTTAGTGGTTTTTAGTTACTGCAGAAGTTGTTTTTAAAGAATCCTTTACATAAAAATGTGTTGTACTGACATACACCAAATTTAGAGCAATGCTGATTCTTGGAATAATCTTGAATTGGCATTTATACAGATGTGGATATATGGTAGCTTTTAAGCACAAGGGGGCTATCCCGGAAAATGCAGTTTTGAGAAAATTAAAGGTAAAGTTTTTGCCCCCAGTTCAGTTTCTTTCAAAGACAAGGATAGTTTTCTCTATAACCAAACAAATATCCACATCAATGAAACCAAACTTCTACTATAGGTAGGGCAATGCCCACTTTCGATGTGGGTCAAGATTTTTGGAAACCCCCGAAATCTGGGTTAGCCCGCTTGTCCTTAAAAAACGACCATATCTAGTGTGTAGTCATGATTACTAAAGGCAAACAAACACCGGAGATGATGTTTTGTACCATGCAGCTGTTGTATACTGTGTTAACATTGGAAAATTGTCTCATTTTAAATGACAGTTGTCTGGAAGATGTTAGTTGTTTAAGAAATTAAAGACCCCCCCTCCCCTCCCTTTTTTCCCCTCTTCCCAAAATAGAATTGTTTTGTTTTTAAATTGAAAAGATAGTTTGTTTATTTAAGAGGCATAGAGGAGTTAACCTAGAACATCTATGAATTGCTTACTCTGAGAAGTTAACAATTGTTTTGTTTTTAAATTGAAAGGACTGTTTGTTTATTTTCTGAGGCATAGAGGAGTTAACCTAGAACATCTATGAATTGCTTTCTCCTAGAAGTTAATTGATATTATTGTGTTGTTAGACGTGGCATATTATATGAAGTTGTTTTTTTCTTGTACTGTGAAGTGGGCTAGGTTTTGTGCTTGTAGTAATGGCAAGTGACTTGAATAACATTTGCCCCCTATTTATATTGTAGTAACATCACTAGAATGAACTGTCGCCGTCTTTGGAATTTGTGAATTATTTTTAACATAGACGTTTTCTTTCACCTTTTTAAAATCAAATTTTAAAAAGTTAGTGCTCTTAACAGATTGCGAAAAGCTGACATCTGTTGGTGGTAAAAAAAATTTTTTAAATGAATTTATTGTTTTTGAAATCGCTGAGAATTTGTTTAGCCCAAAGCATGTTTAATAGTTGAAATGATGTGTTGCATCATGACTGTAGTGACCCTGTCAAGGGATATAAATATGTGTGAGTGGTTGGCAGGTTCTCTGATGTGTTTTGTTTTTCTCCTACTCCTATCAAGCATCTTTAGACCTTATTCCTCTCCTTCTTTTTTGTGTTTGTTACTCTTATAACACCGCTAACCTTTGACACTTATATGACCTAATTGTGTTGCAAGTGCCGTAAAACGCTTACTAAAACCACAGGATATAAGTGTATGTTTGTGTGTGTATATGTACCCTCAACACAGGCAAGAAGGCAGACCTCATGTTTCGTGCATTTATTGATAAAGAAGCCAGCAAGTATGGGTTTGATGTTGTCAGTGATGGTAAGGGACTTTTTTTGTTTCAGCAAAGGTATCCTTGATGCTGCAGCTGCTTCACTTTCTTCTTTTCTTCTTAGATCCAAGTAGCGAAGGGATGAATGATGCAAAGATGCTATTTTCTTGTTTGTTTAGCAGCCGGTTGAAGTGAAGCACTTATCTTTGAGAATGAGGCTATAGAATTATTATGTTTAAAGATTAGATCATCCTGCAAATCTATATTTTCGTCTGAGGGTTTTTTAAAATGATCATTATTTGAAAGCGTGTGAATTTCCTTCTGAAAAGGCGAAATGTGATTCGAGTAAAAAGAGGCTGGCTGGGGATGTTAGTATGATGGAGGGTTCTGACATTTGCTCAGACCAGACATTCTCGTGAGTGAAGCTTCACTTAGCCAGGCTGCTAGACATCCACTCTGCTGCTTCATTTTTTTCCAGGCATTTTTTTCTTCTATTCTGTTTCCACCCTGCTTCCAAGAGGGGAAGATGCATGTTGAACTGGATGTTGATATTGAATGGAACATTTTGAGGTGTTAAAAGCAGGATTTTTTTGTTCTTTCTTTCTTTTTTCTTTTTTAAAAAACTGGTTTGCAGAGTAGACAGATGAATCACAGACTTTGAATTACAAGCACAGTATGTCTGCCGAGTAGTGAAGTGATTTTTTCAGGATTTTTTATTTTTTCATTCTTATTCTGTTCTATGCAGAACAGTCACTTAATTATCATTACTATCTCTTTGCCAGCAAAGAGCCGATATTTCTATTCTTGTAACTGGCACGAGTTGACAGTGCCCATATATTGGCTATTCTCCCCAGTCTTTTTTGTGTGTGGGTTTGTTTTTTGGGGGTTTTTTTCATGGATTGTAGATTTGAATTCACATTTAAGATTCCCCAAACTAGAGCATTTTGTGGAACTTTGAGTATTTGATGCAAATTAGAGCTCTTGAACTGAGCTAGCCAGTGCATATTTATGCGCTGCCACATTCAATGTGTTGTATAGACATCATACAAACTTTTCTCTGACAAATGGGTCTAGTGGTATTTTTCCAACTGTTCCATCTTTAGTTATAGATACTCTTTGCCATCATGCACAAAAAATTGTAGTAGCGGAACAAACACCTGTATTTTTTCTGTTAATAGGAAAATTATAAGTGTTATTTTACTGGTTTACTGGGGAGGGGAGGAGTGTGATTCTTACATCCTTTCTTTTGCAATGACTATCTAACAGACTGTCTCTCTCTTCACAGCATTTTTGTTAATATGTTATTACTGTTTTTTCGGGGTTTTTTTCCATTGATGCCTAAGTCAAGACCTTCATTTAATTACTTTTGAAGTTATGGGGTATTTTTGGTCACCTCTGAAATTGTACATGCACCAAAAATTAATTCAGTCCAAACCCAGAAATAAATCTCAGGAAGCAAAGAGTCTTCTATTATATATTTATATAATATTTTTGTCTTTCACTTTTCTTTTTTTTTTGATTAATGCTTCAAAATTATAGTGTAGATTTTTCCATTATTTTCATATTTTGTATTCTGCTCCTTGTTAAACGGTTTTAAACAGTCATGGTATGTATAATAATAATAATAATAATAGATAGCATTTGTATAGCGCATATCCCCGCTCAACAGCAGGCTCTATGCGCTTTACACTATATTATTACCCCAGCAGACCATAGAACACTCTGAAACATTCTCAGCTTCCCGGGAAGCATACAGTGCGAGCAGCCGATTAAGCGCTCAAACACTAACAAACTGACAAGATCTTTCGCTGTCTATAGCCGGGTACCCATTCCCACCTGGGTGAAGTGAGGAAAATTCGTGTAAAGTGCCTTTCCCAAGGACACAACGTCGGGCCCTTGGCGGGATTCGAACCCACGACCTTACGGTTGCGAGTCCGAGAGCCTAACCACTAGGCCACCGACTATATATATATATATATAGAGAGAGAGAGAGAGAGAGAGAGAGAGAGAGAGAGATGTACTAAATTTTATGTGAATTGATGTGGTATTTTTATAATGAATCCGCTACTGATGAACACTCAAAACTTCTCAGTAAGGCATATCCCGGTTCTCTCTGACGCTACATGTATGATGATCTAGACTGTAGTTACCTCGCACAACTTGTGAAATGGGGAAGATATGAGTGTTATATACCAGTGTTTCTCTGAAATGGGCTTGTATGAGTGGCTTCCATCTGCCTTAGCTCAGTAGTTTTCCTTTTTTCCAGTCAACTTTAGTCCAGTTATTCGGAAACTGCAAGTCTGGCAAACAATAGACGTCGCCTTCTCTTTTTCTCTTTTTGTTTTTCTCTTTCGCTTTCTTTCTCGCATTTTTTTTTTTTCTCTGTTTGTGTATTTCTCTCTCTTTCTCTGTCTCTGTCTGTCTGTCTCTCTGTCTCTCTTTTTCTCTCCTTCCTCCTCTCTATCTCTCAGTCTTCTCATGTGCATGCACTTGTGCTTTCTCTCTCTTTCTCCCTCTCCATCATTCTTTTTCTCTGTCTGTCTGTCTGTCTGTCTGTCTGTCTCTCTGTCTGTCTCTGTCTGTCTGTCTGTCTGTCTGTCTGTCTGTCTCTGTCTGTCTGTCTCTCTCTCTGTCTCTGTCTGTGTTGTAAGTGATGTAAAACTTTCCAGAACTACCTGAGACTGTACTAACTTTGCCTCAGTGGAATGTGGTCAAAAGCCATTTTTCTCACCTGATGTGATGGTCAAATCAGCTGGATTTTGCTTCGGGGACTGCTCCTGAATCTGCCTTATGCTTTCTATCTGCTTGACCCCCCCCCCCCTTTTCCGCCCACTCCTCAAGGTTGGAAGGACTGCAGCATGGCTGAGGGCAAAGCCTTATGATTATTGGTTGGGAGCAATTGTGCAGGATTTCTCTGCACGTTGACTGTCCTCATACTTTGTTTATACTGTGATCTCCGGCTAAAGGCAAGCACCTCGGGTGACAAGAAAAACGTTCTCTTATGTGAATGTGTTATTAACCCTATCCGTACGTCGTGTTTAACTATCGTGTCCATACGATGTGGGGAACTCTGTACCACCACTTCCCAAAATGGGAAATTTACTCGTTAATCCGGCTTTGCATAGTAGTCTGTCAAAATGATTTTTTTTTAGAAATGCTTAAAGTTTCAAAGAGGTCTTTGTACTAGAAGTATTATAAAATGTGAAGAATACAACCCGGGGGGGTAAAAAATGACCCCAGGGCATATGGATAGGATTAACCCTTTGAGCCCTTGCCACCGGTACACCCGTGGCGCGTGAAACTGCCCGTATGTCTAGCCACCAGTACACCGGTGAGTGAGACCCTATCTCCTACTAGGCCAGTCTTGGACAAAATGAACACGGAAAACAGTGTTTACTGCACAGGATGTTATTGATTATTTTCAAGATCTTTTTGAATTAGATGCTGGTACTGACGAGGACTACCCTGAGTGGGATATGGAAAGTGATTCTGATGGTCTTATGTGTTAGTAATATATCGCTCAGGAGCTCAGGCAGAGGGGCATGGTAGCCTCAGGAGGTCAGGGTTCAATGGGTTAAGCGAATGTCGATGCAGAGTAATCTTCAGTAAGTGTTTGTGGAATTTCATTGACTGATGTGAACCACCCTGTATCTGATCTCCTGTGGTAGGTTGTGTCGTTGAGCTTAGCTCGCCACGAGGTGTTAAGTTTTCTTACTCCAAATGATAGAACTGTTAGAAGGAGTTATATTGATGATTTGGGATGTGCACATACGAGTGATATTACTAGAAAAAATGGTTCAATGTTGGCAGTGTGCTTTAAAGGGGGATGATGCTTTTATCCAGTGTGCTATTAGCCGGAGACCACTGTTCATGTGGACTTTCTGGTCATCCTGTATTGTTTATGCCTGTTTACTCTCAGCTTCTGTCTTGTGTTCATTCATCGTATGGTTTGTTTGACAGGATATTTTTTCATACTTATGTTAGTCTTAGGAGTCAGTTCATCTTTTCAACTTTTCTGGAATGATTTTTATTTATTTATATTTTTTTGGTCTTACTTTTCAAACCAAAAAAAATCCAAAAAGCTTGGAGAAGAGTATCTGATCAGTATCATAGTATGCATTATGCATGGTGTTTTCCCTCTAAACTTGGTTGTCTGTTGAGGCCTTGAAATACACTCACCTATGCAATGTTCTTTTAGTAGAAACTGCCCCCTTTCCCCTTTCTCCCTCCCACCTCCACCACTCCATTTCCTCACACATGCTCTTTCTCTCACACATACACACAAACACACACACTCACACACTCACTCAGACTCACATGCACATACGCATATATGTGTGTTCATACTACATTCCCATGTATAAGCACACACAGACACACACACACACAGACACACACACACACACACACAGACACACACACACACACACACACACACACACACACACACACACACACACACATTCATCCCATCTTTGGCTTTTGTATATTTATCAGTTGTTCATGATGTCATTATATTATTTCCATATATACTTGTATTTCACTAAACAGAAATGTTAACCGTAATCACTTATCAAATACCTTTTCTTTAGTTTAATGCTTCTCCCCCGTTCACCTTTCCAGCATGTTCATAATGCCATGATGGCCATTGCCCATATACTTGTGTTTCACCAGACAAAAAAGTTGACCGTCTCCACTTAATCTAATGCTTTTCCTTTTAATGTTTCTCCCTCTCTCCCCTTTCGATACGCCTTTCCAGCAGTGAGATCAGACTTTATCGAAGTGACCCGAGTGGGTAACGCCAAGGCAGGTGATGATGATGATGAGGATGATGACGACGATGACGATGAAGACGGGGGCCTGGGCCACGAGCGAGAGTTCAGCCAGAGCCCCGAGCCCTCACCCGGTGCCTTGCGGCATCACGCCGACCTCTCGCACGACCCCGAGCATGACCTTGACCAGTCGGAGATGATCAACATGTCCACTCTGTCGGCTCCCGAGGTGTCATTGGTCCCCTCCCCAGAGGTCTCCAAAGTAAGCCGTTTTATTGTATTTGTCGTATGCGGGGATGGGGTGGGGGAGTACACTCAGCCATTTTAACGATCCAATTACATTTAGAATGAAGGGAATCATGACCTTCAGAGGGCTCTAGAATCTGCCACTTAAATCCATTTATGGCTCAAGTCAAGTGAATGTTTTAAGGCTGGTACATTTGGCCACTGTGATCCAATTGTATCTATCTATTGTGAAGTGAATTTGCTGCCTTCGTAGGGGGGGCTGGTAAACTCGACCACTTTTATCTGATTATGTGACTGGTAAACTCGGCCACCTTAATCCTATCACGTTACTTGTGAAATGAATTCATCGCCTTCATGTGTATGGTAAACTCAGCCTTTTTTCGCTGATTATGTTTCTAATGATGGTAAATTTGGACATTTTTAAAGCTCAATTTTACTGACTTTTGGGGATAATGATTTCTCAAGTAACGTGTAAACAAAAAAACCAGAAAACAACGTATTTGACGAACAAACAAAGACAACTTTGTCGTTCTGTTCTTTTCAGCGTCCCAAGTCCCTTGAAGACAACCTGAATGAAGTCCGATCTCATTATCAAAGCCGGTGCCTCAGTCGATTCAACTCGGTCAAACGCAAGCAGCTGGAGAGGCTGCGGCAGCGTTCCGATTGGTTCCTCAGTCCGACGGTGCGGGAGAGAAACAACAGCCGCAAGGGGAAAGGCGAGGGGAGCCTGAGTCTGTTTGCCAACAGCAGCAGCGGTCATGGCACGAGCCAGCATCATCACCGTGGCAACGCCGGGTGTGGTGGTGGTGGGGCCAAAAATGGTGGTGGTGGTGGCGGTAACGGCCACAACAGCAACAACAGCAACAACAACAACAACCCTAATGGCAGCAGTATGGTCCTGCAACAAAAGAACTCAGGGACTTCCGTAGTGACCAAAGCCTCGTCGGAGGGCGCCGTTCTGGAGGCGTTCTCCGACGGCGACAGCGTTTTCACCGACAACACCAGCCGCAGCGAGTCGCCCGCCTCGGAGCCCGTCTGGTCGCACATCCTCAAGGTGCACTCGCGCGACATCATCCACAGCGACACCATCGCCGAGCTGTCCCTGCCCGAGATGAGCCTGTGCTGTGGGGACGCCGGCGGCTCGGGGGCGGACATCAGCATCACCTCGCACGACATCACCCTGGGAGCGGACGCCACCACCATCACCACGGCGACCGCTTCCCTTGCCTCGCCACTCCGCACGACCGCGGGGGACGGGGTGAGGGTACAAGGGGCTCATCACCATGACGACGACTGCGATCAGGACGCAGGGGTGAGGGGAGATGATGAAGGAGGGGATGATGGTGACGATGATGATGACGACGAAGACAACACGACACCGACAGGGATCCAGGAGGAGGAGGACACGTTGATGGCCGCATCCCTGCAAGACATTCACCACACGAGTAGCAGCGCAGGGGAGGACAGCAGCACTCGCAGCGAGGAGCTGGACAAAGATTCGCCGGCCGCCTCGCAAGTAGAAGCCACCACCGCGGCAGCACGAATTGTTGAACCCCTTCCCAAGGGTACGGCGGAATCGCAGCAGCAGAAAGCACAACAACTGCAGGAAGAATCCGGTGCTCCACCAACCTGCCCTTCGGCCCTGGTGGAGGCTGGGGTCGACGACGGTGGCAAGGTGGGAGACGAAGAAGTGGTCACGCTAGGGCAGCAAAGTACTATGACCCAGATGGAGGAGGAGACGGAAGAGGCGAGGGAGGTGGGGTCTGCAGGGCACGAGGAAGCGAGGGAGACCTCGCAGCAACAACAGCAGCAGCAGCAGCAACAACTACACAGCCCGTCAGAGGTAGATAGCCAGGCCGTCGCCTCCCCTCCCACCGGCCAGGAAGAGGGAGGGGAAGAGAAGAAAGAGGAGGTGGTCCAGTGTTTCCTCGTGGAGCGCCATTACGGGCAGGACACAACGGCAGATTCCTAGCAGCAAGCCATCTTTTCTTTTGAAACCTTTCAGGGCTTGGAGTGTTGTTTCTTCAATTCGTAGAACGGCTTGTAGTTGTTTAGATTTTTACTACTTTTATTGCTTTGTCTCCTGTACGCAATTTTTTTTTTCTTTTTTAAAAAAATGCCATGTCTAGGTTGTTTTGGGTTTTTTTGTCCAAAGTTTTCATTTGCTTTCAAATTCTGTTGTTTTTCCATGTTGGTTCTTTATTCTTCTGTTGTGCTGTTTCTTTTCACTATAGCAATATTTATCTAGTCACGAATGCCTTGTTTGTTCAGCTTTTCTTCTGTGTTTTCACGTAGCAGAGCAAGCAAAGAATATGCAAATTCATGCGACGATTCGCACGTTTCAACGGCTGATGGAGAATGTTGTAGAACAAATGTTTTTGGTGCATAATTTTCAAGATAATCCGTTTTTAGTGGATAGACTGTCCTTTATATTCAAAATGAAATTGTTCTTAGTATTTGACTTGTCAGAGAACAAGGTTTTTTGGGTGTTTTTTTTAGCAATGGACATTTGTGTGGCAGAGCAGGTACTCATTAAAAATCACAGATTAAAACTTTATGAGATGCCAACAAATGAAAACTAAAACCCTGCATTTACGAGGATGAGTTAGGCAAGCAGAAAAGGGTTGGCGGACGTGACTAAAAAAAACCAAACCCAAGAGACTAATCAAGCACAGTCTACAAACGAATTTTCCAGTAATGTCTTTTTGTAATGCCATAATGCTAAAAGTTGAACTGAAGTCATGGTTTTCATCACGTCAGCTAGTCTGCTCCTAGCACTGCCATATCTCGGGCTGCGGTAAAGATGTCTTTATGAGAAAAACAGAACTACACATATCTCTGGAATTGGTGTTGGGCACAGAAATAATCCAAGATTACAGACGTCTTAACGAATGAGTGTAAAGAAGTTCCTCACGTCGTCGCCACACGTTTGTTGAAAGGACTGAAGGACTAAAGGACAAATCTTGTCTCCTCGCTGTGAGGGACAGTAGTGTGGAGTAAAAACTTAGAATAGCGTGTCAGGTGTTTTGCTTTTTTGGGGGGTTTGGGAAACTATCAGTTATTGCTTCAGCAAGGGAGCTGTTGCTTCTGAGGTTTAGGTACCGAAAAAACTGTACTTTATTGTCAAGTGAAGACTGAGTAGAGTATGTAGTACTGGGGTTTTACTGTAAGAAATATGAGAACTGAACGTGTTCCTATTTGTTCCCCTCTGTCGAACACTTTAATTGCAAATTCGCGTGCTTGCATATGCACTGATACACAGGTACACTCACTTGCACATTTACACACACTCCTGTACACACACTCACACACACATGGAGGCACACACACACACACATACACACACACTTATACACAATCTCATTCACACTCCCACGTACACACGCACGTCATTTTCTGTTGATGTGTAGTCTGAGAGGCCTTTAGTTTGACGTGCTCAAGTCATGATCCACTCTACCCAGTTTTTGTTTGTGTTAAATAGTTTCCTTTTCTTTGTGATTTCAGTTTTAAATATGCAATGGCAAAGGACTTGATTTGCAAAATGTGCTTTGTTTGATGAATTATGTTAAATGATCTTGAATGATTTTTAACTTGCTAATGAAGAATAGAACCCTTGCCCTGGTCTGCATTTCGTCATCATTACCCATGGATTAAAATAAATAAATAAATACATCGTATGCTTTCTCCATACTCCCCACCCACTTCCTCCCACCCCCCTTAAAAAGTCCATACCATTATGACATTGATTCTCGTGTTTGGAGAAATTCACCGACTGTGTGGTAGCCCATGTGTGAGGGTATGAGGGGTGTTTGCTGTGTCACACTGGAATGTATGGATGTACACGTATTGCACTCTTTCCTTTAAAAAAAAAAATTTCCTTGTGTATGTTAAAGTGCTTGCCATTGTTTTCTTGTTTATGAGGTTAATGTTTTTTTGGTTTGTGCGACTTACTTATTTTTTTTCTCCCTGTGTGGTGGCTGTGGTAGCATTTTTATACCAGGCGTGCTGAAACTGAAGAACGTTGTGGCAAAAGACACCTATGATTTTATTCGTGGTTTTGGCACACTGATTTTTTTTTTTTCTGACTGCCTAGATTGAACAGATGAGAGCCAAGCCACTGAGAGGTTCAAGCTATGGTTCAAGTTACACTTGCGGAAAGCAGTGTCACCAGCATTTTATACAGTTCTAGTCTGAAGCAGTTTAAGTGTGATGACGTGGAGTATGGAGAAAGCAGGGGTGCCGATTTTTTAAAATGAATGTGGATATCGGGATTTTGCCCAACTTCTTAATGCAAGATGTACCTGACGAATGTTATGCATCAAGTCTGAGTCCCCATGGCGGCATTTTCACAGGGTCTAAAAAGTTCCTGGGGGGGGGGGAGATGTTGGGTAGCTAGTTGGCACCTTCAGGGAAAGTTGAATGAGTTAAGATGAAATATATTTTCCATCACTAGAAGATATGAATAATATGGGTGAAACTTATGAAGGAAGTGCAGCTAAATTTTTATAGAACCATTAGGAACTGCCCATTTCGAAAAGGAGAAACAACAGGTTTTTTTTGTTGTTCGTTTTGTTTTTTAAAATAAAAACAGATACAACAATATATGGGCCTAAAATTTACTTGGAAGGAGGGGTTATTTTTGTATGACAGTTTACTTCTCAGTGACTTGGAATTTAACTGTCCAATGAGGAGATTATGTGTAAAATTGTAGAATAGTATGTGTCTTCAGGCCTTATGCAATACGCAGCGTACATAATTTAGGATTTTAAGGGGGGGGGGGGGAATAGACACTATGGTGGCTGGTGTACGTTACAACTGTCTGATACTACATAAGATAGTTTGGAGTGGAATATCTACTTATTCTTTAATCATCGAGATTTTCCTATACTGGTCGCACGTGTTCACATTAAGTAAGCTTGCACCGTTCATATTCAGATATCCGAGCGAGTTGAGCACATGTACGTATAATGAACACCGATACTACTACTACTATCAAAAGATAAAGCATTCCTGACCAGGTTTATTATTATTACCGCCGAACGTACTATCATGACAACTACTACTACTACTACTAGTCTCATTTGTTGTTCTGGCTGAGATATGAGTACGTGTGTAATTGGCTGTTGTGCGACTGTACTATTATTTTCCTTTGTGATTTGATGTATATATGGATCTTTTTTTTTTTGGTGCAAAAAATTGACTTTGCTTTTTCATCGGTTTGTGTTATGGATGATTCTCGCTGCACTCCCTGATAAAAGCATGCCATGCTGTGCTCTTTGTAGTGGTGGTCCCCCCCCCCCTCCCTCATGTACATATCCCCCCCACACCACAACCCATATGATGATTCGTATGTATTTGTTGCTAGTCTTTTCTCCTCTGTTGTCTTAATGCACCCCCCCCCCCCCCCCACCCTTTTTTTTTGGTGACTACTTATGTTCCATAGACTTTTATTATCATTGACATTTACAAGTTCTTTATTGGTGTTATGTTTGAATATGTAGTCTTTGTCAAAACTCAAGTGTGGTTTATTATGGCCTTCCTAGCCTGGATGAATCCTGTTGTTTTTTTCCCCCTGCTTTGCTTTCCTTTTTTTTTTCTCTCCTGACAGGCTCCACGTAAAGGCTCTGTTACTGTTATGTTATATATATTTATTTTTCTGTCTGGAAAGGAAAGCCTTTTATTTGGCCTCGTTATTTTCCGCAGACACTTGTAGTCTTGCAGTAACTAGCTCTTCACAACAGCATGTGCCCAGCTACACACTCGTGCTGTAGTGGATGGGTTCGCTTCTAGCACAAGGAAATAATGTTCTATAAACGTTTTATTTAATTTCAAAGCAAATTGGAAAAAAAAAACCCTATGCTCATTGAAAATGTGACCTGTAATGTGTGGACTGAGATGAATATATATCTCTTCATATATATATATATATATATATATATCTCTCTTGGGATGTGTTATGCCCTGGAGTAAATGTGGTGACCTTGACCTGTAGAGGGATAGAGCTCTCAGACTGTCAGTGCTGACGGTTTCCGTGCTTTTGTTTTAATGAAAAAAGAGAAAACACCATTCCAGCTTATATTTTATACGTATATATATATACACAATGTTACAACTGACAAAGGGCAGTGTGCAGATTTAGCACGATGTGAGGAAAAAAAAAGTAGATTTTTGATGCAAGCTCACGTTTTAAGGGGCTTCTGTTTTGTTGTTTACACCCCCACCCCCAGTCCACCCCACCCCACCCCACCCCACCCCACTCCAACCCCACTCCTCCCCACACCCTACCCCCACCCAGGAGTAAAATGACCGGTTCGTCAGTTGACAGGGGTAAATGATGAAGCTTTGATAGGGCTGGATCTTGTTATGTTGGGTTTTGGGGGGGAGGAGGGGGCACACATGAGACTGAGCGGACGAGTTGTATTTTAGTGGTTGATCGGACTGTTGGGGGGGGGTGTCAAGCACTGACTGGACAGTTGGGATTACTCACTTAGTTTTTGACCCAAGGATTCGTCCCGTTGTGCTCGGCTGGACTTCAGTCTTATTGTACTGACAACGTTGATGTTGACTTTCTGCTTCGTCGAGATTTGATATGTGTTTAGCGAGTTGCCCATGGTCCAACAGTGACTCTCTAGTTTTTTAAAACTTATTTTACGGAAAATAGAGTTTTAACTCAAAGGGTGGCTAGGAAAGCTAAAAAAACCCCCTAAAAGTGAATGTGTTACTAACTAATTATACATTGAGGTATTCTAAGACCCAAGTTTGTTTTTTTTTTAATATTTTTTTTTTAAATTCCAACCTGTGGATGTGTAGACTTTGCTGTTACCAGGGTTCCTGCCACCTTCTTGAATTCAACGAGTCCTTGAAAACTCCTTGAATTTTGCCAGATTGGACTTACACAACTTTTTTGTCGGATTGCTCTTGGCACGCCGTCGAAAACGGCATGAATTTCTTGACCAAACCTCCTTGAATTTTTATTATTTCTTCTTGAAACCTCCTTGAAATTTCCTTGAATTTGGTGGGGAGGACATGGCAGGAACCCTGTGTTACTTTTGTCTTTTTACTACCATGACTGTTTGTGTGTGATTTGGACGATGATTCATTTATAAATACGATAGTGACTCTTATTGATGATGGTGATGATGATGATGATGATGATGACAATGATGATGATTCTCTTCAGGTGCCTTTTGTGCAAACGTGCAAGTTGAACCTTTGAACTTTGTGTGTCGTGACTGGGAGCTGTGAGAATTTTTTTTGTAATCTCCTGCGGATGATTGGAGGTCACCACTGATAAATCCTGCTTCTTTTCTTCTCCTCTGTCTGTCTGTCTTTCTTTCTTACTCTTTCCCTGCATTTAATAATCATTATTCTGTCGATAAGCTTTTCTTTACTCGAACAAACGAAACAAACCTAGTTTCCTCCCACACTGGTGGTGGTACCTTCCACTCTCCCTCCCTCCCTCTCCCTCTCTTTTTCTCTCTCTCTCTCTCTCTCTCTCTCTCTCACTCTCTCTCTCTCCACATGTCAACGAGGTGTAGGTTTGTCCCTCTTGTATAGTTTATCTTGTCACACAAACTGGTGGTTCTATCATCCTCTGTATCTTTTGTTTTACATATTTTACAAATCTTGATTCAAATGACTTCATTTGCCATGTCTGTGTTGCACAACATACCGTGCCACACAATGAAGTCAGATCTTAAGGAGACATAGCTGTAGAACTGGGTTACCTTTTGTCTTTGCTGGAACAGGGTATACGTCCCTCTTAACTAGTACCTGATCCACATCAGACTGATCATGAAAAGTCTCCTGTTTGTTTATATCTGTGAATGTGACATGCTGTAATTTTTAGGGGGGAAAATTTTCAGCCTGAGACTTTTAGACAGTGTATTTCTGCTCAGATTTAATGTCCTGCATAACCCATCTCGGCCCTGACGGGCATGGTTGAAAGAGCCTGCCTCTAAAATGATATTATTTATGAGTTGTGTGGATGGGAAAACGTTGACAGTCAGTCACACTCTGCGCTCTGCTCTGCTGCATGGTCCTCTCATTTCAACTCTTATCAGGCCTGGAGAATCCTCCTCCCCTAACTAATTTGAACAATTTCATCAGAGACACTTTCGACATTTTCGGTAATCAGAGGACAGAACGTCTTTGGAAGCTAAGACTTTCCTCTCCTCTGACAAACTTTTCCCCTTCAGGCCTTGGTGGTGAGCAGCACAGCGCAGCGCAGCGTCGGTTGTGTGCAGAAAATGTCCTTTTTGCTGATTGCTTGATCCTGACTGGCATTCTGTGATGTAATGCGCAGGTCTCTCGCCTTTTTTAAAACGGACATGAGTTCAGTTGCCACACACGGAAAATATTTTTAAGGATATAATTAAGTCACGGCCTCTATCTTTCTGCTGGAAGGTGTCCCTCCCAGCTCAGGTTGGCTCTTTACAGGCAGGGTTGTGACTGGCAAGTTGGAAGTAGCCTATCTGTTGAATTATCATCTAAATTGTTTTGAGAAGGGTGTGAAACATTTACCTTGAATTATTATGTAATTGCTGTGGCCTACAACAAAAACGGTTGGTCCTGTTCTCAGTAATGTCCACGTAAACGATTCGTGCAACGCGGGAGACAAAACCCAAAATCTTTCCTGAAGAAGCTAGTCCATTTTATTACTTACTTAGTAAGTGTGTTTGTCATGCTAAGCTGAAACTTCATTCATGACTGACTGATGTATATCGTACGAAAAGTTTACATTTTAGACATTTTGTAGCTTTAAAGATATTCATGTCCACTCCACAGTGTATGATATCTGTGTGTTTGACTTTTTACATTGTAGGGTTTACCCTTCCCTCCCTTTGCTTTTCTGTCTCAAGGTCAAAGACTGACTTTTAAAATGTTGTAGTTCTGATCCTGGGGATTATACAAATCTCATGTGCAAATGTTTGTAAGCACTCATTTTACCGTAATTTATTTACTCTGCCCAGATCTGAAGTTCAAAGTACTCTTTAAGAATTTTGGAAATTTTGTTTTAACCACCACATCCGATATATATTTCCTGTGCACTCATTTGAGAGGTGGCGGCCACTCATGCCAGTCATCCAAGGCTCCGCTGGTGCAGTGAACAAATGTGGAGCAACCCGATGAAACGAGTCGCATGTCACATTTTGTCAGTACAACAGCATGGCCATTAAATTAAAGATCCTGTTTAAGCCCTACGAATGGGGAGGGGGGGGGGGGGGCTGTTGTCATTGAGCCACTTTGGTTCCAAAGTTATAGTCACTCGAAGTTGGGGAATCAGAGACGCACAGTTTGGAGAGAATCAAGCTTTTGCCTGATGTTTTGAAACAGCTGTGTGTGACTTATTTATTACTTATTTTGTCGCGTTGCTGCGCAGATATTCTTTTTGTCGCGTTGCTGCGCAGATATTCTTTTTTTAAAAAATCTGAACTTGTCGTTTGTAGAAATCCATGACATATGTGATAGGGTTTGTTTGAATTTTTGAAGTTTTTCTAAAGTACAGGGGGAAATCCTATAGAGAACTCCAACATGATCAATCGTATGTGTGTAGATGGTTTACCTCAGAGTTTAGACTTGATTTTTAGACTTCCGGTCATAGCATTGTATTTCATGCAGGGTTGTCTTTTCCAGATCAGTTGTCCTTCGATTATTTATCAGAACTTCAATTTCATGTCAGACCCATTCAGTGTTACTTTCAGCAGAATTTTTATTCCAAAAATACTTAAATACCTTCCCCTCCTCACTCCTTCCTCTGAAATACTTATATATATATGTGTGTGTAATATTGTAGGAGTGGGTTGGCGTCATTTTTGAGTTGGTACTTTAGTCGTTTTTTCTTTTAAAAAATCATTGACTTATAAATGGCAGCACTTGGTCGCAGGAGACTGAGAAAATCCACAAGGGGGACCCTGACATCCTCCTCTGTGTCCCCCACGTCCCCCCCCCCCTCCCACAAACCCAAATTCCAATTTCATTGAAATGTCATCAAGTCTATGCTGCTACTACTGTAAAAAAAAATATTTAAAAAATAATAATATTCAAGAAACACTACTACTGAATGCAAGCAGTTGGGACCTCAAACAGGATGGGGGAAATATCTTTCCTCCAGTGTTAGTGGCAGCTGAGATGAGAGCTTGGCTGTGCTAGAGGGTGCTAGGAGGACATTCTGTTGTGGGCTTAGAATTTTCATACCCACGGTTTTCTGCATCATGTCATTTTTTTTTTCCCCGAAGTGAATCTCAACTGTTTAAACTCCCACTGTATCTGACGTTAGAGAAAATGGTGGTGTTTGTGAAAGAAGCATGTTTCTTCCGGGGGGGGGGTGGGTGTTGCTTTTTTCAATATTGGTCTTTTTTTTGTTTCTGTGAAGCGCTGGTAGTCCCTCTTGACTTGTCGCTCTCCTTTCTGCTGTTCTTATTAGGTCGCTTTTAAGCACAAGGGGGCTACCCCAAAAAGAGCTGTTTTGAGAAAATCGAAGGTAAAGTTTTTGGACCCTTTTTCAGTTTCTTTAAAAGACAATGAGAGTTTTCTCTATAACCAAACAAATATACACCCAAGTGAAACCCAACTTCTCCTAGAGGTAAGGCAATGCCCACTTTGGGTGTAGGTCTAGATTTCTAGATACCCCCGAAATCTGGGTTAGCCCGCTTGTCCTTAAAGCAACCATGTAAGATAATGTGTAAGTTTGTTTGGGTTTTTATTCCTGCTGGTAGGTAGGCGGTTCGAGGATGCTGCTGTTTGGTTTTCCACTACTATCTATCTATATGTTGTTTCTGTCTGAACATACTTTTCCAAGCTCTATATTATGAGAGTAATTGCTTTAAATGAAAGTTTTCACGCTCGCAAAAATTTTAATGCTTTTGAAGGGAAGAGAAACAGGGACGCAAATTTAAGTGTCGCAAATCTTCCTGTTTCCCCAAACGTGGGCTGGCCTGATTATGTTTTTGTCTTGATTTTTTCTTAATTGCTGGCGAAAAAAACAAAAATCAAATCAATCAGTTTATTTGAAAAAATGTAAAGTTTGTTTTGCAAACATCTCAAAAAGAAAAGGTTTGTGTCTTGTGCGCTCATATGACCTTATGCAGTTGCGAGTGCCCTAAAACACTTACAAAAGAAAATCAGGAAAAAAATCTTAGAAGTCGTGCATAGTGTTCACAATTTTGGCTGCTTGTCGTGTTCAGTGTACTGGTGCTGAGGGCATATCTTTTTGGGGGGCTGGGGGTGGGGGTGGGGGTGGGGGGTGCGCAAGGGGAGTAGGTGTACTTAATTATTTCCCACATAGAGAGACAAACCCGGTGTGGTCTGACTAAATCGCTGGCATTGTTTTGATTTGACGTGTTTTCTCCCCTTTTTACCTTTCCGTGTGATTTACGTTGATTTTTCGTTTTCTTCTCTGCCTGCCTCTTACAAACACTTTTCAAACAGAATGCATATCTTGTGGCAGATGATGACTTTGTGATAACTATACTGATCCTTTTTTACACTGTGTGTTTGTGTGTGTGTCGATGTGTGTACTTGCATGCATGGATGTTGGTGTGTGTGTGCATGTGTGTGTGTGTCTACACATGCATGTGTACGTGCAGGTAAGCCACATGTACTGCTTTGCCTCAGACTCCGAGAGTATGAAGGCAGAGTAGTAACTGTAGCATTTCCTGTTGACGACGGATGATCGCAGGCGGGAAAACTGCTCAATGCTTCACTTCTTGTGTATCTCAGACTCAGATGTTTGGAGAAAAAAAATGTTTATACCTTGTAATTGAGAAAAAAAACCTAACAAACGTCCTCCGCTATTTTATTCGAATGAATGCCTGCTTTCGGTTCGATGTAAACTATTTTTACCTTGTGATTGCTTTGTCTTAACATCTTGACCTTTAGTTACACTCAGTAACTTTCCCCCTTACTATGTTACTTGAATGTGTTTTTGGGAAGGAAGAGTTCGGGTCTGTTTTTTGTGTTGAGTGTGCGGGATAGAGAGAGAGATGATGAGAGGTGAGTGATGCTGGAAGTGGATGCCATGTGTTGCTTATTACTTTTCGCACCATCATATTTGAATGTCTGTAGACAGGAGTGAGCTAAATGGTTGTGGAGATATTTTAAACACGAACTAATTCCATAGGAACAAAATGTATGTACTTTACTTTTTTCTTAATTTCTGTGTCCCTTTCTGCTATTTGGATTTTTATTATTTCTATGCATCCGTGATTTTGATTGTTTGTGTAGAGCTGTGTTGTTGATACCCTGCGGCCGAGTCGCCTGGTCGTTGATGGACGTGTGCTGCTGTGAAGAACACTGAATGGTATGACGCAGTAGCTACTTCACTCCTGTGTGGTGTTTTATATGATCTTGTAGTTGTGTGTCGACACGGAATGTCCTTTGTTTTCCCTGACTGTGGGGAAAGTACTGAACTACTGTCACAAACAACCCCCCCCTTTTTTTTTTCCTCCATGACCAGTAATGTATATACATATGTACCTTAACACGGCTTTCTTGTTGCAATTCAATCAGTCCTGTTCAAATCCAAAGCCCACGCAAATATGTCTCTTCCTTGAAATTTGTTCAGAACAACTCTAAATTTTCCTGTGAGTGTGAGATTGGTAAAGTTTTTCTTCGATTTACAGTTGTGAAATTTCCATGGTGAGCTTGTGGGTGGGTGTATGTGTGTGTGCATGTGTGCGTGTTCACCGTCCATTCTGCTCTTGCAACTACTTGCAGTCAGTCTAACAAGGATAGGGAATTTTCCGAAAATTTCGGAATTCTGAATTTTTTTTACCTCCGAATTAAAAAAAAAAAAAAAAATTGCCGATGATAAATTCGAGAAAAAAAAAATTGGCGAAAGAGCTACATACTACCATTTCTCCTCCTACTTGAACATGAGAAAATGAACATGCAGGGAAAAGAATTAGGATACTGCTTGACCATCAAACATTGATCTGACTGGTAAAAGCATTCATTGTAATGTAAGTATTTAGATGAATGTAGGCTTCTGTATTTTCTAATTTTATCAATTTTGTTTGTTACCTAGTGAAATAACACCTTGTTCTAATTCTTTTTTTAACATTCAAAACACTCTCAGAGACTACGTTTTTAAAAGTTTTTAGACTACATAAACGTGGGGACTGCGCCGCCCCCCCGAACCCCTGCTGCTGTCGCAGAATCTTCAGAAAAACTTTTGGGAATTAGTCCCTGTCCCTGGTCTAAGTAGATACCTTTTTTGCTTTTGAAATTCCCCAATAACTAAATTAGTGTCCAGCTTTGCTGTGACCTCTAACCTCTGTGTATTATTGAAGTTTTGAGAGACCCCCTGGCGGTTTCTTTTGCTATATTCTCTCTGTGGGCGCAGTCAAAATCCTCTAGGCTTCAAAGACAAAGACAGTTTTGATAAGGGTTTTTTTAAATTGCTTTTTTTTTTCTTCCCCTAATTATTTTTAATCTAATCTGTTTATATGAAGTCGTTTTGATGTACATATTGTATGATTTGAGAACAGACAAGTTCTGCTTGGTTTTTGTTTTGGTAGAAGCCAGCTATTATTATTAAGTGCAACTATGATGAGACTAATGTACGCAAGTGGACACGTCTCTTCTCCTTGTTTTGGAAGATGAAGTGGTTGTTCTCATGTGGCAGACTTGGGACTTTCTCTTTACTTTACTTGTAGCTGTGTCCCTGTCTCTCTCGGTCTCCCCTCTCTCCCTCCCTCCCACATGATTTTACGAACGTGAAAATAGTTGATGTTTGTGTCAGCGAAATCTTATTACTTTTCTTTAATGAGGTTCCTTCCTTCTGCCTATAAAAGTGAGTCTTTTTTTGTCTGATTTTGACCTCTTTTCTTTGGAATGATCCTGCCATAAAGAGATAGGGGTTGGGTACCATACTGGAGGTGACTGCAGAATGTTGACATGGACAGAACTCTAGTCTTTGAGTATGATCTGAACTTTTCCTTTTTCTTTTTCGCCACTTGGAAATACCCCTGGTGTCAATTCTTTTCTTTTATTAATTCACGCAATTTGGTCTGAATTATTTCTCGACTTGGCTTGGTGATGAGCTTCACTGATCTCTGCTGCTATGCTTTACATATACAATTTTTTCCCCCCCACCTTTTATTTTTGAAAAAAAATGTGAATCTCATTTTTGCGTGCCATGTGGAAAGAACTCGCAATATGGGCTTCTGAAGATTTCCTGTGGTGCTCCTCCTTGAAGAGTTACTTTTTTTGCAATTTTGACGTGGTAATGAGTAGCTTCTTCGTAGATCATCTTGTGCTGGTGTAAGAACCAGTTTTGTGTGGTATTGTCAAAATCCAAATGACCTTTTTCATGCAGCACGGTTATTTGAGGGCTTTTTTTTTTTCTGAAAAAGAAAAAAGAACTTGTAAAATTCTGTCGACAGTTTGAGAGTTTGAGAATTGAAAAAGAAGCTGGGTCCTTTGACAATGGCAGTCTTTGTGCCCTGTGAGAAAATGTAAGAGGTACTTAAAATAGTTTGAGTTTATAGTCTTCACAGGGTATTCATTACAATCACCTCCACCTGTACCCTTTTACTTTTTCTTTTTTCTCATCATTTTGACTGTGGTGTTTGCAGGACTCTTTCTTAGATTTTTATGAGAGAAAAGAGTTTAGTTGTCGTCCTGAGTGGTCCTGTGTCTTGTGTGTTTGACGATGATGCTTCTTGTTTGTCCGTTTCCACATGTTGGGGGGAGAGGATGCTCCCCCCCCCCCTCGTCAGATTTGCAAACTTATGTTTCCCCCCTTTAGTTTATGACCACCCCCCTCCCACCCCATCGTGTGTTTCTATTTATACGGCTAATTCCACATTAATTATGCTCATTTGTTGCATTTGAACAAAGTGTTAACGATTCTTGAATGTCACAAATTTATATGTTTGACATGTTTTTCACTCTTGATTTTTGTTAGCGTCATTGTAAACTTAACCGATGGAAGTGTACTTACTGGTCCAGTCAAACTAGATGTACTTTGACTGGCCAATAATTTAACCTCTTAAACACACACACACGCACACACACACACATGAGCAAGCAAACACAGACGTACACATATACGTTTATATATATGCACGTGTGTATACACGATCCATGCATAATGGTACTGAAGGACACTCGCTGTGCAACAACATTTTGCTGTCTGTGGCAATCGTTTCGTTTCTTTTTCTGTCTTCTCAGTTGTGGCCTGGGAAGGTGGCCGCCGTTATATTTATATTTCATGCATTTTTTTTTAGGTCATGGATCCTTTTTTGTTTGGAGTAGTCTCACCGTCTGTAAGTTGTGGCGGTAGTTTGAGCTTTGTTAAGTATGGACCCGAACCCCTTCCTTCCCCTACCCTACACAGTTCACTGTGGCTGGAGTGACTACTGAAACCTTTTTTTTTTGCTTTGCACTTTACGAGCAGTGACTGACAAATTCCATTCAATAATGTGCTCAAAAATTTTTTTTTATGTACACCCCCATGTGGCGTGAGGCAGAAGTTGTTTTCTCTGTGGTACTACTTTAGGATGATGGGTAGTGGTGGTAGCTCACTCTGAGGTGCTCGGAGAATTTTCTGATGATGTCTTCATTCAGTAATCTCCTCCGGTGCGACTTTAGGGAGGAGATAAAATGTTTCATAGTAGTTAGGCCTGACCTATAGCAGCTTCTTAAAAGACGAGATTAGTTACTGTTTTTTGTTGTTGGTTTTTTTTTCAGCGTAAAAAAGTGCCAGTTGTACGATACTGTAAAAACTTGGTGACGGAGGAGGCTGTTTAGAAGTGGCACAACTGTCGGCTGTCATTAGGTAGGGCTATCTAGGCTAAATCGAAAATAAGAAAATGGCGAATGAAAAAAAAAAAAAAATTTTTTTTAATTTTAAAAGCCCCTTGCTGTAAAGACTGAAAAAGTCGGAGTGGCTGCTTGCAGTTTTCTATTTCTGTTCTGTCCTCTCTACTACCAGTGTTTCTTTTTGGATCATTGTATTTGATTTCTGGATTGGTTTATCTATTTCTTTATATATATTTTTTCTTCCTTTTTTCTGGCCGTGTTGTCCTTTGAACTG